CTTGAAAAACGAGGACAACTGAGATGTACGGGAGTGGAATGCCTCATCCTGGGAGCAGATGCGGTGGAGGCGAAGGAATTGGGAATAGGGGATAGCATTTTTGCAGCAAGGTGGGTGGGAGGAGGAGTATTCTAGGTAGCTGTGGGAGTCGGTGGGCTTGAAATGAATATCGGTTTCTAGGTGGTTGCCCGATATGGAGACAGAGAGGTCCAGGAAGGGGAGAGAGGTGTTAGAGATGGTCCAGGTAAACTTAAGGTTGGGGTGGAAGGTGTTAGTGAAGTGGATGAACTATTGTGTGTTTCAAGAAGGTCACCTCTCATTCTTCTAAATTCCAATGAATACAGGCTCGACCTTCTCAATCTCTCTTCATAAGACTGAACCCCACCCCATACCTGGTATTAGCCTCGTGATCCTTCTCTGGACTGCCCCCAATGCCAGTGCATCTTTCCTTAAAGAAGGGGCCACAAATTGATCACAGTATTTTCAGCTGTGGTCAGCCTCGTGCCTTGCATAGTTTTAGCAAACTCTCTTGACTTTTACATTCCATTCCCTTTGAAATAAAGGCCAACATTCCATTTGCCTTCCCTATTACCTGCTGAACTTGGATGCTAGCTTTTTGTGATTCAAGCAAGAGGACTCCCAAATTTCTCTGCTCTGTAGCTTTGTCCAGTCTTTCTCCACCTAAACAACATTCAGTGCCTCTTCCTCAAAGTACATAATGTCACATTTTCTCACATTACATTCCATTTGCCAAGTTTTTGCCCACTTGCTTAACTTGTCTATATCCATTTGCAGACTCTTCATGTTGTTCTCACCACTTGGCCTCCCAACTATTTTTGTGTCTTCTGCAAACTTGGCTATACTACATTCACTTTACTCATTGAAGTTATAAATAATTGTGGTCCCAGCATTGATCCCCGTGGCTTTTCATTAGTTCCAGGTTTCCATCGTGAAAATGTCCTTCTTATCACAACTCTGTCTACTTTAGTTAGCCAATTTATTAGCCATGCTAATACAGTACCTCCAACATCATGGACCCATTTCTGTTTAAGTGGTCTAATGTGCAGTACATTACCAAACACTTTCTGAAAATCCAAACATGTTATATCCACTGTTTCCACCTAGCTATCCTGCCTGTTACCTCCTTAAAGAATTCTAGTAAATTTGTCAGGCATGATTTCCCCTTCATGAAACCATGCTGACTCTCCTTAATCATATATTTTCCTAAATGCTCTTCTATTACATCCTTCGTAAAGTTTTGGCAAAGATCTGTAGCTCGGGTTGTGGGTGAGGTCTGGAAAGGGCACTACTCACCATAACGGATCAGACAGTATAAATTCCAAGCGGAGTAGAATAACATCACTTCATCGGAGGATCCACTGATGGTGGCTCCACCTAGCATGGTGATGAAATGTCTGAACGAAAACAAGCCAGCTTGGCTAGCAAGTCAACAATCTCATCCTTTCTAAAGACTTTGACATTTTCCCAATAACATATGATAAGTAAAAAAGGTTTTAATCACATTTTTTTTGTCTCCTTACTTATTTAAGTATAGGTGTCACACTGGCAATTTTCCAATCCCTTGAAGAATCATTCACTATCTCTGTAACTACATCCTTTACTATTCAAAGATGCATTCCATCAGGTCCAGGGAACTTATCGATCTTTAGGCTTATTAGTTTCCCCAGCACTTTTTCTCTAGTGATAGTTATTGCTCTTATTTCCTCTTCTCCTTTCATCCCTTGATTATTTATTGAGTTTAGAATGCTGTTCGTGTTCTTTACTGTGATAACTGATGCAAGTATTTCTTCAACTCCTCTGCCATTTCCTGGTTCTCCATTATTATTTCCCCTGTCTTATTCTCTAAAGGTCCCATGTTCACCTTGGCTTCTCACTTTCTCTTTATATGTTTAAAGAAGCTCTTGGTATCTATGTTGATATTACTTGCAAGTTTACCCTCATAAAGTTTATTTCATCCCTCTTTTTTCGTTTTCTTTTGTTGGTTTTAAAACTGTCCCAATGCACTAAGTGGCTTACCACTAATCTTGGCCATATTGTATACTTTTACTTTCAATTTGTTGCTATACTTAACTTCTCTGGTTAACCATGGTTGGCGTATCCCCTTCCTAGAATCGTTTTTCCTCATTGGAATATATCCTTTACTGTGGGCCATGAACTATTTTCTTAAACATCTGCCATTGTTCATCAATTGTCCTTGCTGATAAATTCTAAGTCCACTCCAGCTAGCTCTGCCTTCATTCGTTTGCAATTTCTCTCATTTAAGCTTAGCATGGTTTTTTCTGTTTGGTTTTTTCTGTTCCCAGTTTCTCCCTCTAAAACTGAATGCTAAATTATCTGTTCCTATGATGCTGCTTGGCCTGCTGTGTTCATCCAGCCCTGCACCTTGTTGTCTCGGATTCTCCAGCATCTGCAGTTCCTACTATCTCTGCTAAATTATGGTCATTGTTTCCCAGGGAATCTTTTACTCTGACATTATTTAGTAAACCTGCCTCATTACACAGCTCCAGATCCAAAATAAAGTCATAGAGTCATACAGCATGGAAACAGACCCTTCGGTCCAACTTGTTCATGTCAATCAAGTTACCCAAACTAAACTAGTCCCACTTGCCTGTGTTTGACCCATGGTCCTCTAAACCTTTCTTATTTATGTACCTGTCCAGATGTCTTTGATTCATGGTTTTATCCACAATATATCATTTTAACCGTCCTGAATACACTTTGTGAATTCTTCCTCTTCTACCAATCTGCCTATCCTAATCTACATGAAAATTAAAGTCTTCCATGATTAATGTACTGTATTTATTGCATACCCTTATTACCTCTCAAATTGCTCAGGTTATTGTACTTTATGATTTAAGTATCTCATTAGCAGCACTTCTGATAAGACGTGAACTTGCTTCAAAGGTGGCATCAGAAAATTCTATCTCAAAGAGATAGACAGCTATTAATTTGCAATTTCACTTGCTAAAGTGAAACAATAAACCAGATTGGGAAGAGTTCTACGTGTATACATATATATACTACATATATATATATATACACACACATGTAAAATGTATATAACTGTTGCAACATTTAATTCTATGCTCATATTTGGTATGAAGCCACTTATGACAAAAACAAAACTGGTTATGATAGTGAATTAAAATGGAGAGCTGTCCTGTTGATTTATAGAGAAGAAAACTATTCTAATTCATCAAACTCACCTCACATTCGTAGACTCCAAGGTCATTCTTTTCTGTGTTTTTGATGGCCAGCACTGCAACTCCAAACTGCGGATCATAGAAAGTCTGGTATTTTGTTTTATTTGTTAATGGCGAACCATCAATACTCCATCTTCAAGAAGAACAAAATTAAAAATAAATCAAATTAACTGATATTTGAAAAATACTTTAAAAAACATCAGCTTTCAATGGAATATAGCAATATCCAGTTTGGTGAAGAACAGCATAAGCTCACAAACAGTAGTTGAACGAAGCCATTAATCCAGTTGAATGACCAGCAAACCTGCACTTGGAGCCATATGGCATTGTTCCATTCAGGAATTTCCACAAAACATCATGTTAATTGAGAAATTGGTTTTACTGCTATTCCTCAGATGTCACTTTGGAGCAGCCTGGAAGCTTTCCAGGGCTACTCTGAGACAGTTGGATATGGGCCTAACAGGTTCAGTAGTTCCTGTGGGAGGGCATATATATTCATTTGTGGGCATAATGTTAACCCCCCCCACTTATTAGAACATAAAACATAGAACAGTACAGCACAGTACAGGCCCTTCGGCCCACGATGTTGTGCCGACCTACTTTCTTACTAAGATCAATCTACCCTGCATACCCTACATTTCACTATTCTCCATGTGCCTATCCAAGAGTTGCTTAAAAATCTCTGAAGTATCTGACTCCACTACCACTGCTGGCAGTGCATTCCACATGCCCACCACTCTCTGTGAGACGAAACTACCTCTGACATCTCCCGTATACCTTCCTCCAATCATCTTAAAATTATGCCCCCTTGTAATAGTCATTTCCGCCATGGGAAAAAGTCTCTGACTATCCACTCTATCTATGCCTCTCATCATCTTGTAAACCTCTATCAAGTCACCTCTCATCCTTCTTCGCTCCAATGAAAAAAGCCCTAGCTTCCTCAACCTTTCCTCATAAGACCTGCCCTCCAGTCCAGGTAGCACCCTGCTAAATTTCCTCTGCACCCTCTCTAAAGCTTCCACATCCTTCCTAAAATGAGGTGACAAGAACTGAACACAATATTCCAAGTATGGTCTAACCAGAGTTTTATAGAGCTGCAGCATAACCTCCCGGCTCTTAAACGCAATCCCCTTGCCAATGAAAGCCAACACACCATACACCTTCTTTACAAAGCTATCAACGTGGGTAGCAACTTTGCGGGATCTATGACGTGGACCCCAAGATCCCTCTGTTCTCCACACCACCAAGGATCCTGCCATTAAACCTGTATTCTGCATTCAAATTCGACCTTCCAAAATGAATCACTTCTCACATTTCTGGGTTGAATTCCAACTGCCACTTCTTTGCCCAGCTCTGCATCCTGTCAATGTCCTGTTGTAACCTACAACAGCCCTCCACGCTGTCCACATCTCCACCAACCTTCGTGTTATTGGCAAACTTACTAACCCACCGTTCCACTTCCTCATCCAAGTCATTTATAAAGATCACAAACAGCAGAGGTCCCAGAACAGATCTCTGGGGAACACCACTGGTCACCGAGCTCCAGGCTGAATACTTTCCATCTACTACCACCCTCTGTCTTCTATTGGACAGCCAGTTATGTATCCGGACAGCCAAATTTCCCTGAATCGCATGCCTCCTTACTTTCTGAATGAGCCTACGATGTGGAACCTTATCGAATGCCTTGCTAAAATCCATATACACCACATCCACTGCTCTACCTTCATCGATGTGTTTTGTCACATCGTCAAAAAATTCAATAAGGCTTGTGAGGTATGATCTGCCCCTCACAAAGCCATGCTGATTATCATAAATACTATCTCTCAGAATCCTCTCCAATAACTTGGCCATCACAGAACTAAGACTGACCGGTCTGTAATTTTCAGGATTATCCCTATTCACTTTCTCAAACAAGGGAATGACATTTGCCACCCTCCAATCTTCTGGTACTACTCCTGTGGACAGTGAGGACGCAAAGATCATTGCCAAAGGGATAGCAATCTCTTCCCTTGCTTCCTGTAGCAACCTTGGGTATATCCCGTCTGGCCCAGGGGACTTATCTATCCTCATGTTTTTCAAGATTTCTAGCACATCCTCCTTCCTAACATCAACCTGTTCGAGCATATCTGCCTGTTTCATGCTGTCCTCAAATGTCAAGGTCCCTCTCACTGGTGAATACTGAAGCAAAGTATTCATTAAGGGCTTCCCCTACTTCCTCTGACTCCGCACACAAGTTCCCTCCACTATCCTTGATTAGCCCTACCCTCACTCTGGCCATCCTCTTGTTCCTCACATAAGTATAGAAAGCTTTGGGGTTTTCCTTGATCCTACCCGCCAAAGTTTTCTCATACCCACTTCTCACTCTCCTAAGTCCATTCTTCAGTTCCTTCCTGGCTACCTTGTAGACTTCTAGAGCCCTGTCTGATCCTTGCTTCCTCAACCTTAAGTAAGCTTCCTTCTTCCTCTTGGCTCGGTGTTCAACATGTCTTGTCATCCAAGGTTCCCTCACCTTACCATCATTTCCTTGCCTCAGCAGGACAAACCTATCCAGTACCTGTAGCAACTAATCCCTAAACAACCTCCACATTTCTATTGTGCATTTCCCTGAGAACATCTGATCCCAATTGGTGCTCCGTAGTTCTTGCCTAATAGCATTGTAATTCCCCCTCCCCCAATTAAATACTTTCCCATACCGTCTGCTCCTATCCCTCTCCATGACTATAGTAAAAGTCAGGGAGAGGGATCACTATCACTGAAATGCTCTCCCACCGAGAGATCTGACACCTGACCTGGTTCGTTGCCAAGCACCAAATCCAATTTGGCCTCCCCTCCAGTCGGCCTATCTAAATATTGAGTCAGAAATCCTTCCTGGACACGCCTGACAAAATCTGCTCCATCCAAACTATTTGCACTTAGGAGGTTCCAGTCGATAATAGGGAAGTTGAAGTCACCCATGACAACAACCCTATGACTTCTGCACCTTTCCAAAATCTGTCTCCCAATCTGAATGATTGATCAAATAGTAATTCATTATTTGTCACTATTCTAGAGTCAGTCTTCAGAGAAATAAAACCAATTTAAAACCTACATTTTTGGCCCATTCCAGACCTTTGGCTGCCTCTGGGAGTTGTACAGCGTTCCCCTGAGATAATGTTGTTTCCTTAATTGGGGGTACCTTTATTGAATTACTATATATTTAGTTTCACTCTCTACTTAAATGGCCCCATACCCACACAAGACATGATCAATTTAAAGTGTTGTCATTAGAAATATAACCTGTTGCAGCATCCTGTATAAAAGGAACAACTGTTTAATCAGTCGTTATATTTACTTTTTATTGCACACATACATGAGCAGGGCATGTTTGTTTTTTTGTTGTGCACATACAGGAGCAGGGGATGTAATGAATTAAAATTTGGAAAATTATTATTAGATCCACTATTAACCTGTTCTATTCCATTGAAAATTAATTCCCAGATTATTGGAACTTTCATTCCTGAGTCCATTTTCCTGAATGGTTATCGTATCACTTCCATGACTCTAACTTTTCTTTAATTTTGTGCCCAAAATTAACAACTTGTCATTTATATAGCATCTTAAGTTTATGTGAATATTTCAGAACACATCATGAAAACATAAGAGGAACTAATAGAATCATAGAATCCCTGAAGTGTGGAAACAGGCCCTTCGGCCCAACAAGTCCACACCGACCCATCCCCCTATAACCCACCAAATCTCCACATCCCTGAACACTACGGGCAATTTAGCATGGCCAATCCACATACCCTGCACATCTTTGGACTGTGCGAGGAAACCGGAGCACCCGGAGGAAACCCACGCAGACGCGAGGAGAATGTGCAAACTCCACACAGACAGTTACCCGAGGGTGGAATTGAACCTGGGTGCCTGGCACTGTGAGGCAGCAGTGCTAATCACTGAGCCACCGTGCCGCCCTTGTAAAAGCATGGAAAAAAATTAACAGGGGTGACCAAAACCTGGTCAAAGCAGAGGAAGATGATGCGGCAGAGGGTTTCAGGGAGGAACTACCAGACATTATTCTGAGCTTTAACACCACACAAGTCCTGTGATAAGAAAACAAAGAACTGCACATCTGGAGATCTGAAGCAAACAAAAAGGAACAGAAATTGCTGGATAAATTCAGCAAGTCTGGCAGCATCTACGGTGAGAAAACAGTCAATATTTTGAGTCTAGTGACGCATCTTCAGAACTAAAAGCAGCTAGGAAAAGGTGGTATTTATGCTGATGATGGGGGATTGAGGGGAAAAGGAGTGATCAGATAGGGGGAGGTGGAGCCCACAGACAGAGAGAAAAAATGGCTCAGTACACAAAGTGATTGTTAATATAAGGCAGGGAAAAAGAAAAGCTAGGTAGGTGATAATGGGGACTATAAGTACAGAGGAACATAGGAACAGGAGTAGGCCATTCAGCCCCTTGAGCTTGTTCCACCATTAAATGAGATCCTGGCTGATTCGTGGCCTAATTCTGTATACCTGCCTTTAGCACATATTCCTGAATACCTTCATTTAACAAAAAATTTCTCTATCTCAGATTTAAATTTAACAACTGATACTGCAAGCGATGCCATTTGTGGAAGACAGCTGCAAACATCTACACCCATTCTGCTTCCTAACATCTCTCCTGAATGATTTGGCCCTAATTCTCAGTCTATATACGCTAGTTCTAGAATACCCATCCAGTGGAAATTGCTTCTCTTTATGTAACCCGTCTTTTTCTGTTAATATCTTGAGAACTTTGATCAGATCACACCTTACACTTCTAAATTCTAAAGGAAACAGAACTAATTTGTGAGAGATTTCTTCTCATGTGGCATGAGATTGTGACATGTGGCAGTAGGAGGGGACGGCATTCACATTCCAGGAATCATTCTTTGTAAACCTACATTGTACTCACTCCAAGGCCAATATATTTTTCCTAAGGTGTGGTCCCCGGATCTACTCACAGTACTCCATAAGTGGTCTAATTAGGGTTCTCTATAGCTGCAGCATGATTTATGTATCTCTATCTACCAGTGCTCTGGATACAAAGGCCAGCACTTTCTTTATTATTTTCTTGTTTGTGATATTTTAAAGGTCTATTCACCTGAACCCCAAATCTCTTTGGGTATCCACTGTATTTAACTTCATACCGTGTGGAAAGTACCTTGATCTATCCCTTTTCAGTCCAAAATCGATAACCTCACACTCGTTTATATCGAAAATGTGTTGGCTGTGCTTAAAGCAACTCATTTCATGACAGGGCCTGCGGTTGTGAGGGTAGGTAGGAGACATGGAAGGCAGCATTCACATGCTGAAATTGTTAAACATGGTGTTGATTCCTGAGGCTGTAAGGTACCTATGCAGAAGATCAGGTGTTGTTCCTCTAATATGTGTTGATCTTTGCTGGAGCACTGCAGCAGGTCAGAGACAGAAATGTCATCATGGAAACACGGTGGTATGTTGAAGTGGCAGTTAATTGGAAATAGGGGTCATTTTTATAGTCAGAACATAGATGGTTTGCAAGCAAGCATTCAGTCTGCATTTTATCTCCCCAACGTGTAGGAGACTGCATTGTGAGCAGCAAATACAGTAGATTAGACTGAATGAAGCGCACATGAAGGCATGTCTGGGATCTTGGATAATGAGGAATGAGGAGGTAATTGGGCTAGTGTTGCACCTTTTGAGATTGCATGGGAAGATGCTGTGGGGATGTGGGGAGGTGTTGGAAAAAGAGGAGGAGCGGACCAGGGTGTCCTAAAAGGAACGATTCCTGCAGAATGGTAAAAAAGGAAGGGAGGGGAATGTACATCTCGTGGCATCCCACTGAAGGTGACAGAGATGGTGGCATATGATCCTTTGAATGTGTGGATGTTGCTGATGGAAAATGAGGACAAGGGGGATTTTACTATTGTTGTGGGAAGGAAGGAAATGGACCAGACATAGCTAGGGTCCTGGTCAACCACAATAGCAGGGAATCCTCAGATGAGGAATAAGGTGGACTCGTCTGAGGCTCTCCTGCCAAATGCGGCATCATCAGATCAGACGTGACACGTGTTTTAAGTCTTGTGATGTCACTTTGTTAGCACAGAGCTTCGCTTGAGGAGCATGAATCAAGTTAGTGTGTTCAATTTATAGCACTCCTAATTACTCCATACATTTTTATGGTTCTATTTACAAATTAGAAGATAGTTCTCTTCCATTAACAAGAACTAATGCAAGAATTAAATGTTGTTAAATGAATAAACCTTACCTTATCTGTGGGGTTGGTGCAGCTTCAATAGTGCACACAAACTGTGTATCTTCATTCTCTACAAATGGGATGTTTCTAAGGTGGCTTACAAACCTTGGAGGCACTGAAAGTTAAATTGAGAGGTTATTTGGCTTGATAAGAAAGAAAGATTAGATCTAAAAGCTACTTTGTGCAAGGAAACAAGTCCTATACTAGAGAAGGTATGACTGTGGAACTCCCGATATTGGGTCTTGAAACTTACTTATGTGAATGGTAAGCTTAAGTTACCTGTTGGATGCCTCCAGGCAGTTCAACTGCAATATATGCCTCCAGGTGGGTTCAGGGTTTGGGGGATGGTGGTGGCTATGGTATGCAACTGTTATCAGTGCTGCTGTAGAGTTGGGACCAGGATTTCTCCTTCTCCCAGTTCCACATTCAGGCATTTTTACTAAAAATACATATTCTTTTGGTGGCTGTTTCCAGTGATCCCATTAAGGATTGTTCGTTGGGCCCTATGTAGAACTGGGTTTTCTGAACACAGCTGCTTTGATGTCAGCTGAATCCTGGACAGATCAATTTCTGGAAGGGAACCTGAAATCGGCACTAGATATTATTTACATTTGAAACAGACCCTCATATTTTTTTTTTTTTGCCTTCAGAGACATGGCAGGTTCTTATGCACTACATACTGATGCACGAATATCCATAATGGATGCGATGCACCTATCTATACCTGCAAACCAGCTATGGCATTAACTGATATCTAGGCTGAATTGTCAAGTGATCTCACTGACCCAGCAAAAAAATTTCAATTTTTATAATCTTGACACTTGGCTGACTGAAAACGAGAATCCTTAAAACTTCATTCTTTCTCAGCCAGTCAGAAATTGATTTTGTTTAAATGGCATTCTTGTCATCTCCAAAACTGATGACAGAACTTGAGAGGGCCAAGAAAAAAGATAAATATTTCACTTTAAAAAGTAGAAAATCTTGGTCTCTATTAAGGAAAATTAATATTTAAATAATATAATTTAAAAAAGGAAGGGCACAATTTCCCCAGCCAAGGGAGCATGCCACATGTGCTGCACTGGATTATTTATGTTTCAAAATTCCTACCTTGTACAATAATCTTCCCAAGTGTATTGGCATTGCCTGCAGCACTAGCTGCGTAGCACATATACTGTCCTGAGTCGGCAGCAGTGAGAGTGTCCAAGATCAGCGTACAGGAACCATCCTCATCCTCAATAATAATGTGATGTGGATCAACCTCCACAAGCTTTCCATCTGGTGTCAAAAATAAACATGTTAATTTTAAAAAATGCTCATGGGATCTAATAGTAATGGTTTGCAAAGTCATTGCAAGACATACAACACGGGTCAATGTTACCCTAATTCTTTTTCTTCCTGCATGGACTTTTGAGTTCTGTGTATGGTATATTTAAGCAGAAGCTGAAATCACACAGTGGAGGATAATAGGGCATGCATAGGGTTTCCAAGCAGCTGTGCAGTTTACAGAGAATGCTGGCACCAGTACCAAGAATGCCTGTCTATTCTGGGATATTCAGGCAGTGGCGAGTTTTTCTGGCTACGGTGAACGGTTGAACCCAACACTGAACAAGAGGATAATGACAGGGTTGCTAGTTAATGAGGTGAGTTTGGGACAATAGAGTGAGAAAACTCAATTGACCTCGTGGAGGAAAACTCTCCATGAAACATGACCAAAATGACACACACAGCCAAAACAGTGAGATTCAGTCCAATGTGAAAAGTGTTCCTTTGGCCATCTAGCAGTTTATTTACTTATCTCACCCAGATATTGGGGCGGCACGGTGGTCAGCACTGCTACCTCACAGCGCCAGGGACCTGGGTTTCATTCCACCCTCAGATGACTGTCTGTGCGGTGTTTGCATGTTCTCCCTGCATCTGCGTAGGTTTCCTCCAGATACTCCAGTTTCCTTCCACAGTCCAATGATGTGCAGGTTAGGTGGATTGGCCGTGCTAAACTGCGCCTAGTGTCCGGGAATGTGCAGCCTAGGTGGATTACCGATGGAAAATGCAGAGTTACAAGGATAGGGTCGGGGGGGAGGCATGGATCTGGGAGGGGGATGCTCTTCGGAGGGTCAGTGTGGGTTCGATGGGCTAAATGGCCTGTTTCCACACTGTAGGGATTCTGTGATATCATGATGCTTGATCAAATGTACAATGTGCCTGGTTATAAAGGTATATTGAGGATTTACATCAGTATGAAAACTTGAGCATAATTTTTCCAAGACCCAAAGGAGTCCAATTCTTTCTGACAGGAAGTCATGGATTTTTCTTTCCTTTCTTAACTGATGGCAATGAAGCTAACTGTTATCATCTCAACAGCTGTCCTACATATTATATACTAGTTTATGATAGACATTAAACACAGGATTTTCCAGTGTCTGCTACTTCATTTACTTTCTGAACTACAAATCAGGTCTTAAAAGATCTATTAAAAGATAAATTTGGCTAATAATGTTGGTTGCAATATTTTTTTCATCTGATAGAGACATGTTTTGTTCACAAAAAAGGGTTACCTTTATACCATGTGACAACCGGTTTTGGATTTCCGATAACCAGGCATGCCAACTTCACAGTCTGTCCCATTTCAGCTGTACAATCTGCCAGTTTCTCTACAAATTCTGGGGGATCTAACAAGAAAACATATTCATTTGGTTCATATAGTTTCCTTTATCCACCACATTTTCTTAATGAAAATTCGCACTCTATCCATTTGGATACAGCTAACCGAACAAAACATAAAATATAAGAGAATATGATGTTTTTGCTATATATCCAGGATTGACAGGTGTTAAAAGCAGATATTTTAACAAATTGCTTTTGAAGCATCAGGAGAAGATTCATTAATAGATAATTTCTTTTAACAACATAATGTTTGATCCAATTACTCAAATAAAGGATCATGGTGCAGTTTGATGTCAATGCTATTATATTTCTATGTTGAAGTCAGTCCAACTTACGTTTATCAAAAAGGTTTTATAACCATTTGGTGGTTTTATGGATTGATGTCTTCTCACTTTTGTAGTGCATAATAAAATTTAGCCCAGCACAGAAGTTTAAATGTTTTACTGGCTACAAAATTCTGAAGAATTCTGTACAGGTAGAGGCCAGAAAATGACACACAACTAATATGTTGCAATCTAACTCAACTTAGTTATTACGCTCAAAAGTTCAGAAAATCAAAAAAATTCACACTGTTGTGGTTGAGGGATCCATCTGAGATTGGGGTTAAAACATCTGCAGTGTTTCATTTATTCCTGGATGGGAAGAGTTAGGAGTAGTTTATGTATTTAAAAATGTTGTATGCCTCAGAACTGATATTTCAAATAAAAATATAGGTCTGAGTGGACAGCTTGTAGAACAGTGTTATTAACCTGAGAGGTGAACAATAATATTTATTTTATACATCAGGCCTATGAGGAAATGGAGGCACTGTGGTAATAGCACAGGAGTAACAAAATAATAGAGAGCATGGGTTCAAATCCCACCGTGGTAGCTACTGGAATTTGAATTTAACCAATAACCCATTGTTGATTGCTGTAAAAACATATCTGCTTCACATCTAAAGATGTAATTCCAGACCCACTGCAATGTATGAGCTAGGAACTGCTCTCTGAAATGAGGAAGTAATGATGAAGTAATTAAAACAGCAGATGTTCAAAAGATCAAATTTGGAACCTAGAAATCTTGGAGGGCTGAAGGAAGAGAAGCCATGAAGATAGTTCAATACATGAGTAAAAATTTAAACATCTAGACTTTTCTAAAAAAAAATCACTCGTGCATTGTGTGCATTGTTGGCTGGGCCAGCATTTGTTGCCCTTACTAGTTGTCCCAGAGAAGGTGAAGGTGAGCTGCTTTCCATCCACTGAGTCTGCCTACACTTCCTGCTGCCTCGGGAAAGCAGTCAACATAATCAAAGACCCATTCCACCCCGGTTATAGTCTCTTCCATCCACTTCCGTCGGACAGAAGGTACAAATGTTTGAAAACATGCACCAACAGTTTCAGGAACAGCTTCCTCTCTGCTGTCATCAGATTTTCTCGGACTTCTCATTTATTAAAATTGCTCTTTCTCTGCCCTTTCTCTGTAGCTGTAACACAATATTTTGCATTCTATTACCCTGATGTAGTTATGCAAGGTATGATTTGCCTAGATACCATGCAAAATAATATTTTCACTGGATCTTAGTACATGTGACAAGAATAAATCAAATCAAAATGATGACTTAGGAAGGCCCACAATGTAGACACTTGCAGACAGGGAAATGGGTAAATGGGGCTTCACCTGACAAAGGAGCAGCGCTCCGAAAGCTTGTGATTTCAAATAAACCTGTTGGACTATAACCCGGTGTCCTGTGACTTCTGACTTTATCCACTCCAGTCCAACACTGGCACCTCCACATCATGGTAAATGGGACAGTATGAGTGAAGACATGAGTGGTAAATATAATGTCTGTGTCTTGGATTTCAGCAGATACTTACTCCAAGCGGGTAGACTGAAGCACTGTTGTATGCCAGTAATGTCTTTTACCCATGAAATCTTTATATTCACAGTTCGAGCTTGAAGCGTGTATTTACGCACTGAATCCTCTCGCTCATGCCAGATTTCAAAGGATCGTTCATCGCCTTCCACAAAGTCATTCACATCAATGTTAGTGAGCTACATGAAGAAAATGAAACTGTAAATTTTGCAGATATTTTCAGAACCTTTAACCATTCAGACTTCTCATCTTCAAGTCTGATGAACAAATGAAAAAAACAGTACCTCCCAAAGGTCTCAGTTCCTGGGGAAAAAGAAAGTAATAAATGTTTTGTCCAAATGAAAACTGTAGCACTTTAACAAACTGCATAGCCCAATATAGGAATATAGCAACTTACAGTAAAAACATTTTGTCGATTTGAAAATTTAGAAACACAAAAGTGCGAGAAAAAGAAACAGTAGCCTGGAGTTTCTGTTTGCACTGTTTTCTTAAAAGCAATTTATTTGAAATCAGTGAAAATATTGCAAAAGGTCACAGAATTTTAAACACAAATTACATATAGAATAACTAAGTTTTTTATGTCCTTTTACACTGGAAAAGAATATTACAGTAGAAACTAGTCCTGCCCATAAGACTGGTCACATCTCCAGATCAAATTAATTGCTGGTGCAGGTTTTGCTCACAAAGGCCGTTATAGTTGGCTGTATAAAAGGAAGCATTTTTTTTCAGTCAGATTGGGATAAATATTATGGTTCAGCAGGTCTGGCAGCATCTGTGAAGGAAAAAGCAGAGTTAACGTTTTCGGTTTGGTGACCCTGCCAGACCTGCTGAGCTTTTCCAGCAACTTTGTTTTTTTCCCCTAATTTTACAGCATCCGCAGTTCTTTCGGTTTTTAAATATTATGGTTATTGGGTTTGAAAGGGGGCGAGTGTGTAAAATCCAGCAGGTAGTCTTCCCACTGCTTACCCACAACCACTTAATGGCCTTATCCTGTCAACTTTGGTATTTTAAGTGGTGCAGGGAGGCTGGACATTTAGGATCTTTAGCTATGTGGACTGGTGTTGAGTGATGGGGGTACCTCCATTTGAGGCTGCCTGGGGCCTATCAGTGGCACCCCACCACTCAAGGCCATGCCACTCTTTAATGTTCCCCTCAGCTGCTTGAACCTGTCTTGCTCATTGAAAGGCCAGAATCCAGAGCTGTCAGTAATCTGATTTGTTAGCAGCTGCCTAAGGCATGACTTCCTGAGAAAAGGCTGGAAGTCTTGCCTTAAAGCAATTAACATTAAACCCTGCATTAAATCTTTGTGCAGCAGACATTGGGACTGTAGGAAGGCACTCTCCAGGCCTTTTTTACCTGGGTGGGACAGGAACCATGGCACCACATATGATCCAGCCCAGGCCCACTAATAGGTAAATTTTAAAGTTTCTCAATATGTATTTTGCATTAATTTACAATTGTTTATCAATACTGCACATCACTGTTCTTTTACCAATAGGTGCCTCAACAAGGCTACCAGCTGACAGATATGAGGGGACAATCCTTTTGTTCAGGCACAATGTGTCCAATAAAGACTACCCTCAAACCTGCAATTGCTCCCTCAACCTTTTCCTGACCTACAGAACCTAGCCTCCCAATTTCCTTGCTTCAGCCTGGCCCTGGCAAAAACCTGGACTTATCTTCATGTCAGACTGCATGGTTCCTCAGCATTGGGCCCTGCCTGTATCAGTAGTAGCCACTGCTTCCTGTGGTGCTGCTGGGACTAGATAGCTGTTGGTGATTTGATTGGTTGGCAGCTCTTTGAAGTGGACTCCCTCCAAAATGGGAGCACAGTTTTGTCCCTGCCGTGGTGGAAATGGATAGTGTAATGTCACCAGATTAGCTGCGGGGACCTGAATTCATCTCATAAACAAATAAAAGAAATCTGGCTAAATAAAGATAGCCTTACCCTAGACTTTTAAGCACCTATATGTGTACATCAGGTAATGAACATGAAAACAGACAAATATGCAAAGTACTGGAGTTTCAATCACAATTGTATTTAGTAAGATTCAGCACTTTTACGAAGGAGAAACTAACAGATATCAAGAATTCTGCATACTTCGGAAGAGACTAACTTAATTTGTTTGATGAAAAATTTGTAATACCAACCTTCATCAGATTTTTAAAGATGTAACATTGTGAGTCTGTCCTGCTATCTCTTTTTGGTTTGCAGATCAGTAAATGGTTTTTGAAGAGAAAAACAACACGTTTGTGACCCTTCCATGACAGTCTTGCACCGGGAGCTCCCTCCCACACAATAAAATGTCCCTAGGAAAAAGCGCATTTATTTATTGCATTTCAGACAAGCTTTTCTAATGTGGCAGTAATAAAGTTAGACTAATGTCATATGAGCACTGTAATATTATTTTTATTCTTATTCTTCAAGTACACGATATTAGACAAAATAAACTTATACTCATCTTCTCAAAAAATTACTGAAACAACTAATTTCTCCACCACCAAGAAAGAAAACAGCTGCAATATTATGGGAACACAAATGCCACCAAATTCTCCAACAATTCATCTTGACATGGATATAATAGACTTAAAATGTACTTAATTAATACCTAAAATCCTTAACTAAGGTCATTGAGGGAACACAGTTGTTATAAGACCATAAAACCACAAGCTATAGGAGCAGAATCAGGCCATTTTCTCCACATTTAGACCACATTTTCCTGCTTTCTCCCTGTAACCGTTGACCCCTTACTAATCAAGAACCTATCTCTGATTAAAAACACTGGCCTCCACAGATTTCTGTGGCAATGAGTTCTACAGATTCACCACTCTCTGGTTGAAGAAATTCCTCCTCAGCTCAGTTCTAAAGGGTCATTCTTTCATTCCGAGGCCTGTCCTAGTCTCTCCCACTAGTGGAAACACCTCCACATCCACCCTATTCAGAACCCCTCCTCATCCTTCTAAACTTCACTGAGTACAAATTCAGAGTCCTCAACCACTCCTTATATGACAAGCCCTTCATACCTGTGATCATTCTTGCAAACTTCTTCTGGACCCCCTCCAAGGCCAGCACATCCTTCCTTAGATACAAAGCCCAAAACTGCTTAAAATATTCAAATTGTGGTCTAACCAGTGCCTTATGCAACCTCTGTAGTACAACTCTGCTCTTATATTCTAGCCCTCTTAAAATTAATGCTAACATTGCACTTGCCTTCCTACCTGCCAAGTGAACCTGCATGTTAACTTTTAAGAGAGACCTGAAGTAGGATTCCCAAGTCCCTTTGTGTTTCAGATTTTCAAAGCCTTTCCCCATTTAGAAAATAGTTTACACCTCTAATCTTCCTACTAAAGTACGTAACATCACACTTTCCCACATCATATTCGTTCTGCCACTTCTTAGCCCACTTGCCTAACATGTCCAAGTCTTCCTACAATCTCCCCACCTCCTTAACACTGCCTGTCCTTCACAAATCTTTGTGTCATCTACTCAGTTAGCAACAATGCCCCTTTAGTTCCTTCATCCAGATCGATGACATATAACATGAATAGTTGTGGTCCCAACACTGACCCTTGCAGAACACTACTAGTCATTGGTGGCCATCCTGAAAAAGACCCCTTTATCCCCACTCCCTACCTTTTAATAGTCAACCAATCCTCAAGTCATGCCAGTACTTTGCCCTGAACAGCATGGGCTCTTATGTAGTTTAGCAGTTTCCTGTGTGTCACCTTGTCAAAGTCTTCTGGAAATCAAATCGATCACGTCCACTGGCTCTCCTTTACCTAACTTGCTCATTACTTCCTCAAAGAATTTGAATAGATTTGTCAGGCATGGCCTCCCCTTGACGAAGCCATGTTGACTCAGCCTATTTTACCATGCACTTCCAAGCACTCCGCAGTCTCATCTTTGATAATGGACTCTCAAATCTTACCAACGACCAAGGTCAGGCTAATTGGCCTACATTTTTCTTGTTTTCTGCCTCCTCCTTTCTCAAACAGGCCTGTAAATTTTCCAGTTCTCTGGGACCGTTCCTGATTCTAGTGATTCCTAAAAAATCACCATCAATGCCACCACAATCTTCTCAACTATCTCCTTCAGAAATAGTAGGAACTGCAGATACTGGAGAATCTGAGATAACAAGGTGTAGAGCTGGATGAACACAGCAGGCCAAGCAGCATCAGAGGAGCAGGAAAGCTGACGTTTCGGGCCTAGACACCACTTCAGAAATGGGGGAGGGGAAGGGGGTTCTGAAATAAATAGGGAGAGAGGGGGAGGCAGATAGAAGGTGGATAGAGGAGAAGATAGGTGGAGAGGAGACAGACAGGTCAAAGAGGTGGGGATGGAGCCAGTAAAGGTGAGTGTAGGTGGGGAGTTAGGGAGGGGATAGGTCAGTCCAGGGAGGACGGACAGGTCAAGGGGGCGGGATGAGGTTAGTAGGTAGGAGATGGGGGTGCGGCTTGAGGTGGGAGGAGGGGATAGGTGGGAGGAAGGAAAGGTTAGGGAGGCGGGGACAAGCTGGGCTGGTTTAGGGATGCAGTAGGGGGAGGGGAGATTTTGAAGCTTGTGAAGTCCACATTGATACCATTGGGCTGCAGGGATCCCAAGCGGAATATGAGGTGCTGTTCCTGCAACCTTCGGGTGGCATCGTTGTGGCACTGCAAGAGGCCCAGGATGGACATGTCGTCTGAGGAATGGGAGGGGGAGTTGAAATGGTTCGCGAATGGGAGGTGCAGTTGTTTAGTGCGAACACCTACGCACGGTTCGCACTAAACAACTGCACCTCCCAGTCCAATGGTATCAATGTGAACTTCACAAGCTTCAAAATCTCCCCTCCCCCTACCGCATCCCTAAACCAGCCCAGCTTGTCCCCGCCTCCCTAACCTGTCCTTCCTCCCACCTATCCCTCCTCCCACCTCAAGCCCCACCCCCATCTCCTACCTACTAACCTCATCCCGCCCCCTTGATCTGTCCGTCCTCCCTGGACTGACCTATCCCCTCCCTAACTCTCCACCTACACTCACCTTTACTGGCTCCATCCCCGCCTCTTTGACCTGTCTGTCTCCTCTCCACTTATCTTCTCCGCTATCCATCTTCTATCTGTCTCCCCCTCTATCCCTATTTATTTCAGAACCCCCTTCCCCTCCCTCATTTCTGAAGAAGTGTCTAGACCCGAAACGTCAGCCTTCCTGCTCCTCTGATGCTGCTTGGCCTGATGTGTTCATCTCGCTCTACATCTTGTTATCTCCTTCAGAATCTTGGAATGTAGTCCAGTCAGTCAGGTGATTTATCCACCTTAAAAATTTTCAGTTTCTGCAGCATCTTGTCCTTAGTGATGGTCACTACACTCACCTCCGCCCCCAACTATCTTGAAGTTCTTGTGTGGTACTCGTGCGTTCGACATGTCTTTACTCCCCATTACGACTTCCTTAGCCTCATATTCCTGCGGTTCATTCTTGCCTCGCTCTTCTGCTTTAGATATCAAAAACAAAAACCCTTGCAACTTTTTTCATATTACGAGCTAACTTACCCTCATACTGCATCTTCTCCCTCCTTATTGCTTTTTTAGGGGTCTTCTGCTGTTTTTAAAGGTTTCCCAATATTCTTCACTACATTCTGTGCTTTTTCTTTTGCTTTTATGCTGACCCTGGCTTCTTTTGTCAACCATGGTTGCCTCATCCTCCCCATAATATGTTTCTTCTTCCTTTGGATGAATTTCTGCTGTGCTTCATGAATTACCCCCAGAAACTGCTGCTCTACCATCTTCCCTGCTAGGCTTCCCTTTCAAACAACTCTGGCCTGCTCCTCCCTCATGTTTTTGTTGTTACCTTTACTGAATTGTATTAGGGTTATATCAGATTCCAGCTTCTCCCTCTCAAACTGCAGGATGAATGCTATCATAATGTGGTCACTGCCCCCTTGGTGTCCTTTCACTTTAAGGTCCCTCATCAAATCTGCCTCATTACACATCACTCTTGCCTGTTCTCTAGTGGGATCTACCTCAAGCTGCTAGAAAAACCCCACAAATTCCGATTCTTGGGATATGCTACCAACTCGATTTTGTCAGTCCACCTATGTACTGAAGTCCCCCATGATTACTGTAGAAGTGTCTTTCTTCAATGCCTTTTCTATCTCCTGATTTATTTTCTTCCCCACATCCTGACTGTTGCTAGGAGGTCTGTACATAACTTCCATCAGGGTCTTTTTCCCTTCGCAGTTCCACAACTCTACCTAGACAAATTCTACACCTTCTGACCTATATCACTTTTCATTTCTTACCAGCAGGCAACTCTGCCTGCCTCCTTTCAATAGGATGCATATCTTTGGATGTTTAGTTCCCAGCCCTGGTCCCCTTGCAGCCATATCTCTGTGATGCCCACAACATCGTACTCCAACAATTTCAATCTGTATTACAAGCTCGTTGCTTTGCATACTGTGTGCAGTTAAGTACAACACCCTCAGCCCTGCATTGATGGACCCCTTATCTGTTGTACCTGAAGCTGGATTCCTGATTTTTTTCCATACTCTTTGTCGTTTTACTTGTTCTGAAAACTTTAATTACCTCTGCTGAGCCCTCACCTTCCTTTTACATTTTCCATAATTTTCGAGGTAATCCCTTTACCTGTCTAAGGATGCAACAGCTCCATAAAAAGGTTCAGCATTACCTCCTCTTGATAACTTAAAGACACGCAATAAATGCAGCCGCACCAATGTGACACACATAACAAATCTTTTTAAAATAAATATTCTACAGAGATGATTATATTCTCCAGAGTTTAGAAGAATGAGAAGTGATCTTATTGAAATATAAAATATTTTGAAGGGGCTTGACAGGACCAAGAGACTGCTTCCCCGGCTGAAAGATCTAGCACATGGGGGTACAGTTTCAGAAGATGAGGTTGATCATTTAGAACCTAGATGAGGAGAAATCTCTTCACTCAAAGGGGTTGTGAATCTTCCTCTGGAGAAGCATTTTTGATAGCTCAATGTTTGGACAAGCCCCAATGCCAACTTAAAGTGGTAATCATTCAGATGGTGGCCGAGTCGGACAGCAGAGCTTTTTGACCTTCAGGCTTTGTCAAAGTACCTTTTATCTTTTGGGGCCTCTTCAGGAACAATTCTCTTCCATAAGACCGCAAGACATAGGAGCAACAGTGGGCCATTCAATCCATCAAATCTGCTCCACCATAATATTGATACTATGAAAGATACATGATTTTACTCAAATAATCAAAGGAAAGATACTTAAGCAAATACCTTTCTGATGGGATCACCAAGAGATTCCAAAGTGCCCGGATAGTTTTCAATCATTGAAACATGTAGGCTGTTGTCTGCACGCTTGGGAAGAGCAGACACTACAGCATATGCTTCTTCTAACAAAGCACAGTTTTTATTGTTTCTTGCTTTGTTACGAATTAGCTCCTGAAAGGGACATGTAAATTTATAGTTCCTTACACTCTTCTATATAAAAACAAACAAAACTGAAAAGAAAATTGCTGGTAATTTGACTATTGTTGCTTTAGAAAACCAATACTAGTTATCAACATTTAGATATTAGCTAGAGCATGACAACTGTTCGAGGTGAAGTGTGGCATACTCACTAATCTGTCAGATAAATGACATTTCAAATCTGAATGGTGGCTTTACGTTACACTAATTTACATAAGGTAGTACATTTCTAAATATATGAATGCACATTTAAAAAAACTAACAATAATAAGAGAATTGTACAGCCCCAATTACTAACATAATTGTACATAAAGATACAGTCCTCATATAAGCTTTGGTTCAATTAATAGCACTCTAGCTTCTGAGTTAGAACGTTCGAAGTCCAAGTCCCACTTCAGAGCATGAGCACAAATATCAAAGCTGATTTTCCAGGGCAGCACAGATGAGTGCTGGAGGTGCAGTATTTCATGTGAGAAATTAAATTGAAGTCTCATGGCAATGATCTCATGGCAATATTTCAAAAAGTAGGCATGGGAGTTATTCCATGTACCCTCACAGAGACACAGCCTCATTTATCATCACAAAAACAAATACTCTGGTCATTTTCGTATTGCTAACACATTTTCTACACGACAACTGAAAAGTATTTCATTGGATGTAGCTTGCTTTGTGACATCCAGTAGTCATGAAAAATGCAATATTCTGTTTTTATGAATGTGCTTTAGATTCAAGCTGAATTGAAAAGTCGTGGTATAAATCACAATAATTTACATATTGAAATTCAAACATGGATGCTCCATTTTTGGACTGCAGCAATGTGCCAAATTCACACTGGATTTTGGAAATTGATGCAAATTAGTTAAATTTGTAGATAACTCCAAAGTTGGAAGGGCCGTGGATTCCAACGAAGCAGACCAGAAATTTCAAAATTAGCTAAACAAATGCATGTGTAGGACAAGAGTTAGCAGTTAAAATTTCATGCAGATACGTATTGTGTTGATTATAAGAAGTAATGTTAGTGAACACGTTACAGAAACAACAGCTACTTAACATGGAGAAATCCAACATGTTTTACATGTTCAATAATAAAAAAAAATTGGCACTGAAATATAATCCTTGAACTGTGTTCAAAAAGTTATAGACGATTTTGAATGAGACCTAGAAGTTATAAGACTCTCAAATGTTCAAAACATTCAACAATTAGAACAACAATTAACAGAGTGAAAAGGAAGTCAGAATTGTAAAATACAAGCTAGAAATGATGCTCAAATTGTACATTGCTCCCATCTGGCCAAACCTTGACTACTGTATCTAGTTCTGGTTAGTGGGAAATAATGGAGACATATCAACACAGAAGGTAGTGTAGAGGAGCCTTGATGCAGAATTTTACTGTTATGTCAAAAGAGAGAAGTTTGGGCATTTCAGACTGAAGATTTAATCTTGCACAGCTAAATATGATTTGGTATTGGTCAGTCTTTCATTTGGAATGGTTTGAAAAAAGTTAATTTGTAATACTACTTCAAAATAAATCGAGTATGAGAAAGGAACACAGTTTCAAAGTAGTAAGAGAAATTTATTCATGTAGTAAATGCTAGACACTTGTAATAGTTTCTGAACTGAGCATTACAAGCAAAAATCATGAATTCCTTTAAGAAGTAATATCTAGCAATAGGAACGCTTTGGGTTGATCACAATGCATAAATCATGAGAGGCTGAATGGTTTTCCGTAGTCGTAAGTATCTTGTGATGGTATTGGCCAGTCTATCATTTTGGAGCAGTGGCAATATCCTTACTCCGTTCTGAATATTAAGTCATGTAATTTGAATCACTATGACTTAAAATTTTAGCTTTGAGCCAAATCTATCTACAAAGTCAAAATTACTTATCACCATGATCATGGCTAATTCCTATAAAATTCAGAATACAAAATAACTAAATTTACTAAGGTGTAACTGATTATACATTTTTGTATCCATACTCTCAGTTATGCTGACGTGTTTCAATGATCAAATAAAATCTCTCTGATTTCAATATCTAATTTAAAAAAGTTCAACTATGTTTATTAAGTTTTCACTAGGATGACTGGCAAAAATGCACAGAAAGATCAATGGTAATTTTCAATGTTATAATCCCAGACAATCCATGCCTTACCTTGAGAAAATTTTGATATTTCAACAGCCTGTTGGGAGGTTTCTCTAGGTAAGCATGAATAGGTAGCACTGGGGGTTCTGAAGGGTCCTCTGTTGATGATATTTCATCTGTGTATTTCTGAGACAACAATATTAGTTAGTTAAGAAAAGAGGTTCATCTTTGTAGAGTGCCATAAATGACAGTATATCCATCTTTCTTTGACTAGCAGAAGGTTAAACAGCACAAAGTTTACTATTTCATACCAAAGTAGGCAATGTCAGCATAAAACTGTTTTCTAATAAAACCAGAGTGCTGATCAGTTCAGGACTTTAACACAGCACTTTTCTTACCATTAATCATAGCATGCTTGCAGAATAGTCAAAGAATAGCTACATAAAATTATTTGGGGACATAACACAAACATGGTGAACCTATATTGTATCAATTTCAGAATTTGGCTTGGAGCTAATTGAAAAGCTATTCCTAAAATGTCTTTAACAGGAATGCTTGCACTATAATACATAACTTTTGTTTTTATACTTTTATGGGATGTAAGCATTGCTGGTAAGGCCAGCATATGTTGCTCATCTATAATTTCTTATGACAAACTGTAGTGAGCTGTCTTGTTGAACTACTGCAGCTCATCCAGTGTAGGTGTACATGTAGTGTTGTTCATAAGGGAGAATGTAAAGAGTTTTAAAAGAATAGGTTCCACTCAAAAGGAATATCATAACTCCATATACAATCCTCAAAGTACAAAGTAAATTTTTTCGTGCTTATTTTGCATTTGGTATTGTTTTCCCTGGATCGGTGTGATGCAAAGTATCAAAGCGGAAATGTGCCCCAACTCGCTAGTTTGTTACAAATACAGAGAATGCTGGAGGAACTTAACAGGCCTGGCAGCATCTGTGGAGAAAAATAGAGTTATTGTTTCGAGTTTGGTAAGACTCTTCTTTCGAACTCTTATTTGTTAACTTGCTTTACATGGACTTTTAGGAAGCGTGCATTAACTGAAATTTTGTATCAAAACTCTTATGTCTAAATCTGTTCCATCATGATTTTGCATTCACATGTCCAAATGCAATAAACTATTGGATCATTGAAGGACTGTTCTGTTCATTTACCTTTCGAACAGACCACGCAATAAAAAACAATGAGGGGAATATGAAAGAGGTCTTAGTGATGTGGGCAATGGCAAGATTTGTGGCAGCATCTAAGTCCTATCTTGAAAATGGGAGTATCTTGCTGTATCCTTTATGTTTTTGCTGAGCGGCTCGGTATGATTCTCACTAGACAGTGATGAGTTGCCAGTTAAGGAAATTAAGGCTTGTGAAACTTCCAAGCTGGACTTCATGAATTCTTGACGTGGAAATCAGAGCCTGAACCCGGTGACTTCAGCTTGCTGTTGGCTGCAGATGGCCTCCATGTTGGACACCAGCTACAAATATCTTAGAGCATGTTCTAAGGGCGCTAGCCTCATGCAACCCATGTCTTTGGACATTGGCATCTGATACGTGCCAGCCTCTAAGAACCCTCATGGCATGTCTCCAATCCACTTACAGTACACTTCTAACTTCAATGCTGCTCTTTGGACTGCACTGCCCAATATCATCTTAATGCTGTGGTAAGAACAATATGCTCTCAGGAACATGTAGCCAGCTCATGGATCAGGCTAAATCTCTGGTTACTTCACTGCTGAACAGCGCTCACTCACCTCGAGCCTACCTGGACGCACACTGCATCCCTGCCTTGCCTTGATATTTGCAGACATAAAGCTAAGAAATTTGTCACAATTGTCTGAATCTTCAGTCAAGGGAAACAGCCTGTGCTCAGGAGATCTTGGCACAGTTATCAAAGGAAGCCTCCACTACCAGACCACAGCCTTGGACATGGTTAGTTAGTCACTTGGATGGTCAGAGTCAGGGTCCTCTCCTCGTAAAGGGTGAGAAGCCAAATGTCTCACAGCGCAACACCTATTTTGCCTCTTTTTGCACTATTGAGATCTGTTTCCCCCCTGAAATGAGAGGCAGGTATTAAGGGAGGTGAAAATAGGTAATACAGCTCTTACTTGTGGTGCAATTTCAGAAGTGTCCTGAATGAGTAGGCAGTGTAGAGGGCATGCAAGATTAATGGTGGTGGGAGCTTGAGTGGGAGACAGCAAATGAGGGAAGATGGTGCAGTTAATAGTGAGAGTGGCAGAGCATGAGCTTTGTTTCAAGATGGGTAACAGTAGTAGCAATCTAGAGAGTGCGACGTATCAGAGATAAGATGTGAACACTTATGCAGGTGGCCTGGAGAAGGCCATTAACATTCTTTCAACACTGCTGGTCATGTTTCCAGATGGCTGAGACTGCACTGACTCAGTCGGCAATGGGACCAAGTTTGCACAGTCTGGTGTTGTGGCCTACACTGCTGGTCCTGAGGAAAGAGGATCTCCCTTGTTTGCGCCTAACCAAATAGCAGGACCTCCAGGTCCCTATCTGCAAATTGGATGTCCATTTCCCCATCTACCATGTCCAGGGTAAATGCCAGGAACATGCAGGGCAATTCTGGATTGACAATTTGTGTCTAGGAGCATATTGGGCTTTTATAGATGGCATGGGCAGAAGGGATGCTGGTCTTTTTGCATATGTCTGGTGAATGGCAAATTGTTTTGGAAACAAAGTGTGGTGAGATGGGGACTGAAGTGGGTGGGAGGGAATGCTATAGGATTGGGGTAGGAAGTTAATAAGGCACATTTGGTAAAATATTATCAGAAATATTGTTGGGTCTCATGGTGAGAATCCTCCAAAAAAATCAATGCAACTTGCACTTAGCCAAAAATAACAAAAGATTCAGCCCCTGTTCTAACTTAAAATATGCCAAAAATGACAGACTTAAAAAAAAACAGCAAACTCTTCTGTAAAAGAGAATATCCTTAGAGTCTTACTGTTACAAAATTTTTGTACCAAACATAAACAATACCATTATTCAATTGCATTCACTTTTTGATTGCAATCATATGAATCTGTATCGACATTTATTCTCAAATTTATAAATAATCTTACTGTTATCACATTGTGGTTTCATGAAACAAGTAGTTTGACACCAGTCTAAATACTTTGGCAGCATAAAGTACTAATGAAGCGTTTTACTTACATTTTCTTAAAATACAACTTACATTATAAAAGTCTTGGACAGCTGGGTTAGTAATATGAGATTCAGCCTGTACTTGTCCAACTAAGTAATGCATGTATTTATCAAATCCATCACTGTTCTTGATGAAGCATAACGCAATATCATCATCCGTCTGACATTTCAAAAGATCATTCAGGAATGTGCTGAAACAAAGTGAAAGAGGAATCTCTTATGCAATATTTGATTTAGTACATAAGTCTACCCTCATGTGACTGTTCTGTACAGGCTTACAGCAGGATTTACTGTGTGTTGAACGGAATGATCACTAAACACCTACCCCTTGCACAACTACGATGCGGAGATGAAGGTTCCTCATGGTAGACTGATTAGCAAGGTTGGATCACATGGAACACAGGAAGAACTAGCCATTTGGATACAGAATTGGCTCAAAGGTAGAAGACAGAGTGGTGGAGGGTTGCTGTTCAGACTGAAGGTCTGTGACCAGCAGTGTGCACCCAAGGATGCACCCATGTTTGCTGGTTCACTGCTTTTCATCATTTATATAAATGATTTGGATGTGAATACTGGAGGTATGGATGGTAAGTTTGCAGATGACACCAAAATTGGAGGTGCAGTGGACAGTGAAGAAGGTTAATTCAGAGTACAACAGGATTTTGATCATACGGGCCTATGGGCCAATGGGCCGAGGAGTGGCAGATGGGGTTTAATTTAGATAAATGTGAGGTGCTGTATTTTGGAAAGTCAAATCAGGGCAGGACTTCGTTGCTGAACAAAGATTCCTTGGAGTGCAGGTTCATAGATCATTGAAAGTGGAATTGCAGGTAGATAGGATAGTGAAGAAGGCGTTTGGTATGCTTGCCTTCATTGGTCAGTGCATTGAGTACAGGAGTTCGGAGGCAATGTTGCGGCTGTGGAGGACATTGGTTAGGCCACTTTTGGAATACTGCATGCAATTCTGGTCTCACTGCTGTAGGAAGGATGTTGTGAAACTTGAAAGGGTTCAGAAAAGATTTACAAGGATGTTGCCAGGGTTGGAGAGTTTGAGCTATAGGGAGAGGCTGAATAGGCTGGGACTATTTTCTCTGGAGTGTCAGAGGCTGAGGGTGACCTTAAGAGGTTCATAAAATCATGAGGGGCATGGACAGGGTAAATAGACAAGGTCTTTTCCCTGGGGTGAGGGAGTCCAAAACCAGGGGGCATAGGTTTAAGGTGTGAGGGGAAAAATTTAAAAGGGACCTAAGGGGCAACTTCTACATGCTGAGGGTGGTGCATGTATGGAATGAGCTGCCAGAAGAAGTGGTGGAGGCTGGCACAATTATGACATCTAAAAGGCATCTGGATGGGTATATGAATAGGAAGCGTTTAGAGGGATATGGGCCAAATGCTGGCAAATAGGCCTAGATTTATTTGGGATATCTGGTCAGCATGGACGAGTTAGACTGAAGAGTCTGTTTCCGTGCTGTACATCTCTAGTAATCTATGACATGTTTGCTATATTTGGATTTGCAGCTGCATCCAAGAATTTCCTGACATACTTTAGCAAACTCTGCACTCAGATTTGAAATGGAACAGTCAAATCAGCTTCTTTTTCTTGACACGATAATTTTTTTGTATTACCTACTGCAAGCCGACATTCACTGATCTCTGTGCGTGTTAGGATTCGCACGGTCTCACTTGCTGCAAGATCAGCCTTATTGGCAACATTATGAATAAGGCCCTAGTCATCCGCACATTGTGTAAGCTTGGTGCTGAGATACAGTATATCAAAACTATCCTGCACGGTAATGGTTATCCTGATAAAATATCTGCTCACTGTATATTTTGCAAACTCCTGGAAGGGCCTGAAGCTTCTACTTTTAGCACAAAATGGTGCCTTGTCTTTCTCCATTTGTTCTAGAAGGAAGTGTCTGAAAAATCTGAACACCAGGTTGAGTTAGATATCTGTAACTGTTATTTTGCAACCACACAGAAATGTTAATTTTCACTGACTGGATGCTGCTTCAAGTCATTGGACAATCTATGTATCTCACAAATGAGCAATGTGATATATCAGTTTCAGTAACTAATGACACAGGTACTTAGGTTATATATCCCCCAAAAATTTAGACTATCGGAAATGGCACATTCCCTTGAATGCTCGCAGCAGGCAGTGTGCCAAATATGCTCAACCAGCCTACTCTTATCAAACTCAGAGCATGATGTCCAACATTGTGAGATGTAATTCTGCTATCGGACAACATTGACTAAATAATCCTGACCTTGCTAGGAATCACACTGGAAACCAACCTAAAATCATGAGTCAGGCTGGAGTGTAATTCACTTATGCATTCTAGAATGTCACATTTATTCACACACATAGTCTTATTCTTTGCAGAGAAAAGAAATATGTCCACACATTGTACCTTTTACATTGAGGAATGGGAAATGGAGACATCCAATCAATGCTGTACTCCATGTCAACAATCTGGTCAATCAAAGCCAACTTGCCCACTTGAATTGTATCAGTTAACTAGGACAGTTAATAGGTACTGCCATATCAACATGCTAACTAAAATCTAATTGATTCTCTTCTCATGCTGTAGAAATTGCTTTTCCCTTTCTAAAGTTTGTTTTTTTGCATTTCAGCCCTGAGGAGTGCAAGATGAAAAGCTTCAGAGTGAGGGTGGCAATTGCAGAGGCATTGTCCATAATGTTTTACATTTTCCCAGGCTTAGGGTGGAGCCAGAGGATTAAAAAAAAATCACTGCTATAACATTTTTCAAAAAAGGATGATAAGTATGCCCAGGCTAATCTGTTGAACTTCAGTGGAAGGAACTCGTTACGGAAAAATAATTCAGAATAAAATTGTCACTTAGGCAAATATGGGTGAAATCCAGCAGGATTTATCAAGGGAATATGCTTGAATTTTCTAGTGAGATGACAGAGTGTTGATCAGAGTAATGCTGTTAAGGTGGTGTATATTTACTTCCAAAAGGCACTTGATAAAGTGCCACACAACAGACATGTCACCAAAGGTAGAACTTACAGTCGGAATGCAATAGAGGCAACATGGTCATGAAATTGGCTGAGTGGCAAACATAAGGTAGTGATGAACAGTTGTTTCTCGGACTGGACGAAGATTTATAGTGGAGGTCCCCATAGATTGGTGTTAGGGGCTTCCAGTCCGCCTAATGTATTAATGACATAGACATTAGAGTAAAGGGCACAATTTCAAGAATTGTGAATTATATTGAATTTATGAGGAGGATAGTGTAGAACTTCAAAAGTACATAGACGAGTTGGGTGGAATGGATGGACAAATGGCAGATGAAATTTATCGCACAGAAGTGTGAACAAAAAGACATGCAGAGGCAATATAAAATAAATGGGACAATTCTAAAGTTGGGATAGAAGCAGAGCGGCTTGGGTGTATAAGTACACAAATCACTGAAAGTGGCAGATCAGGTTGAGAGAGTAATTAATAAAACATGACCTTCTGATTTTATCAACAGAGGCACAGAGTGTAAAAGCAAGGAAATTGCAATAAACCAGTATAAAATACAGGTTCAGTCTCAAATGGATTCCACTTCAGGGCACCAAACTGTAGGAACTAGTGAAGGCATAGACAGGCTGCTGAAAAGATTCAGGGAGATATTTCCAGAGATAAGAAACACTGGTTAGACAGAAAGATTATAGTATTTGGGAATGTTCTTCTTGGTAAAGAAAAGGTTAAGAGGAAATTTGGTGGATGGATTCAAGATAATGAAGGTGGGGACAAAGTAGACAGGAAAAAACTTCCAGCTGCTAGATGGTTTAAAACAAGTCGGAACAAATTAATTAAAAATCAAACGATGGCAACACGAAGAAAAAATGTCTTCATGCAGTGAGTGGCTAGGATCTAAAATGTACTGCATGATACTGGGAAGGTAGGGTCAATTGAGACTTTCAAAAGGGAATTTCATTATCCGAAAAGGAAAGATTTGCAATTCTACGGGGAAAGGCAGCAGAGTGGCACCATGTGAGTAGCTCTTTCAGCAAGCCACTACAGAAATGGCGGCAAAATGGCCTTCTGCTGTCTTGTTATTGTTCTACAATTCTAATCCTGAGGATTGGTGAGTGAATAACGATCCACCTCTTTCACAGAGATTTAGCACTCTATTGACCTTGAAGTTTGAAGATCGAGAACTAATTAGTGATTTAAATATCGCCAGAAGCAGACTAGAAGTTGAACCTTTTCACTTTGCCCTCATCAGAACTAAGACACAAATAAAGGCTTGAATGAGGAGAGGGTGCTGTTTGGTTGAGACGTATGGAGATGCAGCAAGAACTGTTAACTGTCAATCTAAATTCTCAGAACAGGCAGGTTGATTCTAATTAGTCAGGGCATTGCCATGGGGATGCAGTAGTATTTGGCTGTCTCCATAATCCCTTTTGTTTGAACAAGGCACAATGTATGTACAACTTCCTTTTGCCTAAATAAATCAGTGTCTTGAGTGTATGTAGCTCACAGCATGCACAAATGCATCATGCCGCAGGTCTGACGATTGGTCATTGACCAAAAACAGGATGCTAAAGGAATATCACACCTGCATTGAGGTTGTAAGGTCAGGTTTAGGAAGTATGGCAAAGGAGCACTGTCACTTTGCTTTCAGGATCTGACAACTGCCATTAGGTCAGCCTGACACTCTTCAGTGGACTCTTCAGTAGTTCTAGGTTCTCGTGCAATGACAATGATTAGACCTGTGAGAAGCTACTTCTTCACAGGACAGCAGTACAGACAAAACATTTAGCTTCCTTCCCCCTCAGTCCATCGTACTAAAGACATGTAGCAGGTGCTCAACTGCTCTACTTTGGTTTCTCAACTGATGCAGGCAGTGGATATACCTCTTTTATTGCATTCGAAATTAACCTCCAAAGAATGAGATGACAGATTATAAATTTTCAGGCCTTAAAATGGTTGTCTTTGTTTAATTTTTTGAGATTAGCTCTCTATAGAGTCCATTATTTTTAAAATAATTTCATAAGTGAAGTTTATAAGGATAGTATTCAGTTATCTACTTGCAGACTTCAGTGTTACTAACCTGATGTGAAAATCAGCAATCTCATTAATATTTCGGAAAATCTTTTCTTTGCTATTTGCTACCGAGGGTGGTACGTGGGCACTTGTTTTGGTGTGTTTCACATAATGGTCGACAAAGAATTGTAAATTTCTCGTAAACTCTTTTTCAGTTGCAATAAGATCCTGCACAAGGAGGCTGTAATCACATAGATCATAATATACTGTTAGATAAAAACTTCTAATATGAATAATACATGTAATTATAGTGAAATATTTATACTATAAAGTTTTGCATACTTAAATACATTTTTCAATTAAATAATAGGTAAATAAGAGAAAACAGGTCTATGTCAATCGTATCTCATTAAACAAATAGTTAACTCGAAAATCATTTTGAGAGAGAAGTCAGTGTATTGAGAATGAAAGTTTCTTATTCTTAGGAAAGAACAAGTTAGTTAATCAATTAATTTTAATAGAACACTTTAGAATAAAAATGGAACTCCGTTCACTCACTATAACTTCCTTCTGTATTCCTCTTCTGATTCAATCTCACCAGGGATTTCAGGGCTTTCCAATGCAACTTCAGCTGAGAACTACAAGTCATGAAAAATAAACTCAAGAATAAAAGATGTCTATAATTGACCAGTTTTTAACTTCTACTTTAAAAAAAATGCTAAAACAGCATTTATTGTCTGTCTCCAGTTACCGTGAAAAGGCACCGGTGAGCTTCCTTCTTGAACTGCTGTAGTCGACTGACAAGTATACCGAAAATGCATCTGTCTAGACAAGTGAAGAGTATTCTAGCACATTCCTGACTTATAAGTGGTGGACATGCTTTGGGAAGTTGTTGGGGGGACATTAATTAGCTCACTACAGAATTCCTTGCCTCTGACCTGGTCTTGTAGTCACAGTATTTATATGGCTGGTGCAGTATAGTTTTTGGACACTGGTAACCCCTCAAATATTAACATAGGGGATTCATGGATTGTAATGTTTAATGTCAAGGGGCAATAGACTATCTCTTGTTGAGAGACAGTCATTATCTAGTAGTTGTGTGGTATGTTATTTCCTACTTACCAGTCCAAACCTGGATGTTGTTCAAGTCTTGCTGTATATGAATATGGATTCTTGATCAGTATGGGAATCAAGGATTACAGGGAAAATGCAGGAAAGTCAGATCAGCCATGGTCCTTTTGAATGGTGGAACTGACTGGAGGGGCTGAACAGCATACTCCTATTCCTATTTCTTACGGCCTTATGGACTGCTTCTGTGTCTTACAAGTCACACATTGTGCTGAATATTGTGCAGTCATCAGCAAATATACCCATTTCAGACCTTATGAGGAAATGTCATTGATGAAGGAGCTGAAGACAGTTATGGCAAGGACTCTTCCTTGAGGAACTTACGTAGCAATGTATGGATTTGAGAGGCCTCAAACAACTACAACCATCTTCCTTTGTGCTAGGTATGACTCAAAATAGTAGAGAGTCACCCCTCATTCCCTTGACTTCAGTTTTCTGAGCTATCTGTGTGACTTTGCAGTCAAATTTCAAACTGACGTGAAAGGCATTCAGTCTCACCCCACCTCTGGAGTTCAATTCTTTTGTACATGTACTGAGGTCGGGATTTGTGGTGTCCTAGTGGAAGCCAAATTGTGTATCAGTTATTTCTGAGCAATTGGGACTTCATAACACGATTGATGACCGCTTCCAACACTTTCAGGATAATCAAGGGCATGATGGTGTGGTATTTAGCCAGACTTAGTTGGTCCTTTTTGTGGACAATTCATTCCTGGGAAATCTTCCACATTGTTGGATAGATATCAATATTATAGCTGTGCAGGAACAGCCTGGTATGCCTAACTCTTCCATACAATTGCCAGAATGTTGTTGGGGCCTACAGATTTTGCAGTAACTAGCAGCTTCAGCTGTTTCTTGATGTCATGTGGAGTAAATCAAATTTGCTGAAGACTGCTCTCTATGATCCTGGGAACCTCAGGAGATGATGATATTGGTTGTGATGCACAATTATGGAGTTTAGATCTGATTTGTTGGCCATGGGTTCACTTTGCCCCACCTATTTCATGTCATTTCTGCTGTTTGGCATGCAAGTTGTCCTGTGGTGCAGTTTAACACACAATTTTTAGGTGTGCTTGGTCTGCTCTTCTGCAGTCTTCACCAAACCTTGTGCAAAGCAACTGCACAATGAGAGAAGTGTGGAAAAAGAATCATATTGGACTTAAAAATGTTAACTCTGTTCCTTTCTCCAAAGATGCTCGCAGATCTACTGAATTTCTCTAGCACTTACTGTTTTTATTTCAGAGCTGATGCCAGGAATAGCAAGTTTGAGTTATAAAAACAGGCTGGGACCTTTTTCCACTGGACCGTAGGAGGTTGAGGGGTGACTTTATAGAGGTTTATACAATCATGAGGGACATAGATAAGGTGAATAGCAAAGGTCTTTTCCCTAAGATGAGAGAATTCAATGCTAGGGGCATATTTTTAAGGTGAGAGGAGAAAGACTTAAAAAAGGACATGAGGCGTAACGTTTTTACACAGCGTGATTATTTTGTGGAATGAACTGCCAGAGGAAGTGATGGATGCAGATATAGTTACAACATTTAAAAGACATTTGGATAGGTGCATGAAGAGGAAAGGTTTAGAGGGATATGGGCCAAATGCAGGCAAGTAGGACTACTTTAGTTTGGGAACATGGTTGGCGTGGGCCAGTTGGACCGAAGGGTCTATTTCTGTGCTATATGACTCCATGACTCCATAACTCCAGTTTCTGCACTTTGAGAGAGACTGTGAATTTGGCTGAAGTCCAATTTGACTGGGTAAAGAGTACATTAATACCAACTGAATATTCAATTGAAATTATCTGTTTCAAATTGTTTATCTCTCATCCATGGAAGTTTTAGTATGAATTGCTAACTCTATCATTCTTTTTCCTTTTAAAGGGCAATTTTTCCCCATTTTAATGTGGGTGAAAGCGTTAATTGGGGGGAAGACTAATTACAACAGTATAAAAGAGTTTGTTGAGGAGTGTTTTTCTGATGGAGGTCAGTGACCCTATTCAGTAAGTGCTGGGACCTCTGTTGTTTGTACTGTTTATAAATGATTTGGAAGAAAAGGTGATCTGATTAATAAATTTGCAGATTAACACAAAAATTGGAGAAGTTGTGGATTGCGAGGAAGGTTGTGAAAGGATACAGCACGATATAGATCAGTTGGAAAGTTGGACAGAGAAATGGCTGATGGAGTTTAATCTGGACAAATGTGAGTCAATGCATTTGGAGAGGAAAGTATACAGTAAGTGACAAGGCCCATAGGAGCTAAACAGAGGGAATTCGGCTGCAAGTCCTTATCTCCCTGAATGTGGCAAAACAGGTGTATAAGATGGTAAAGAAGGCATATGGCATGTTTGCCTTCATCAGGCGGAGCACTAAGTATAAAAGTTAGCAAGTCAATTTGCAGCTATACAAAACTTTAGTGTTTGGAATATTTTGAATATTGTGTACAGTTCTGGTCACCACACCGTAGGAAAAATGTGGAGGCTCCAGAGAGAGTGTAAAGAGGTTTATCAGGTTGTTGCCTGGATTGGAGTATATTAGTTATAAAGAGAGTTTGGTCAAACTTGGATTGTTTTCGCTTGTATCGGAGGCAGAGGACCATCCTGATAGAAGTGTATAAAATTGTGAAAGGCATGGATAGGGTGGATAGTCATAGTCTTTTTCTCAGGTGGAAATGTCAAATACAAGGGGGCATACATTTAGGGTGAGAGGGTGAAAATTTAAAAGGACTAGAGGGCATAAGTTTAAGGTGAGAGGGGAAAGATTTAAAAGGGACATTTTACTTTTTCATGCAGAGGCTGGTGCTTTTATGGAATGAGCTGCCAGTGAAAGTGGCGGAGGCTGGTACAATTACAACATTTAAAAGGCATATGGATGGGTATAGGAAGAAGAAGGGTTTCGAGGGATATGGGTGAAATGCTGGCAATGGGACTTGATTTATCTAGGATATCTGGTCGGCATGGATGATTTGGACCGAAGGGGTCTGTTTCCATGCTGTGCATCTCTATGGCTCTATGAGATATGTGAGGTAAGTCTTTTTTAAACAGTCGGTGCTAAGTACCTGGAATGCACTGTGAGGGAAGGTGGTAGAAGCAGTGTTGATAGCAATGTTTAACAGGCATTTAGATACGTACATGAACTTGCAAGCTGGTAAGATTAGTTTAGAATGGCACCACGGTCAGTGCAAACATGGTGGGCTGAAGGGTCTATTTCTGTGTTGTACTGTTTTATAAAAACTGAAAGAATTGCGGATGCTGTAAATTAGGAACAAAAACAAAGTTGCTGGAAAACTACTCTTTTATGTTGTTCTATGAGGTTGTATCTTTAAGTATCTTGAAAATAATATGCACAATATTGTTTTTATAAGTACAAAGCAGCAAATAATTTATTGAATTAAAATGTAAAATGATTCTATGGTAACAATACAGGATTCAAGTTGCATTGTAAACCGCAAGATTGAAAAGATGGCTTATGATTGGACTGACAGGCAGGTTGCCAATACTTGCCCGCTCTTACAGCTTACTTAAAATGCTTGCTTAGTCCAGATCTACATAAGTAGGATTAAACACCCCCTTCCTGCTGCTGGTGGCTTCCAAGAACAGTAAATTTAAGAATAGTAAATGGCAGCTAAGCAAGGATCAAGTGACCAAAGTAATTTTAATTGTTTGTTGTCTGCTTTCTGCCAAGAAGGATTCGTGAAAATCAAGGCCTTCCCATTAGCATTCAAAATAAAAAATTAAATTAGAATAGTTTTGCCAGAGTTAGGAAACAGATGATTAGCAAATGACACATCATATTCCTGATTTTGCATGGTCACTTTTATCATTTATTGACAGTAGTAACTAGGTTTATGTGTTTCTGTGCAAGAGAAATGTAATGCTTTCATGTGTGTGCATGAAGTTGACTGATACTTTATTGGAGTTTTGGTGTTTACCTTTAGTCTTTTATCCAGATAGGCTGGCGATACCCAACCTTGTCGGGGAGGTGTTGATTTGGTAGGCTTGGTCCTAACCAGCCATTTCAGTGGATGTGCAGAGTCAAGGACCTCCACATATTGCCGCTCTTTAAGATGGATGGACTCTTTCTCAGATGGTGGTGGGTTGTAGTCTGCTGTAGCCACATAAATGTCAAAAACCTGCCATAAGGAAAAGATGGTATTGATTTTTTTTAAACTGTTATTCAATCTGCCCACTTAGGATTTCTTTCTTTCTTCACAACACTTAAATAACATAATACAACCATCAGTCCAAAGGCCAGCCAGATCAGCACTGCAAGTAGGCAAATACAAAAGTAAATGGCTTCTGTCAGTTATATGAGTCCTGCAAGTTGTAACAGTCACATAAGACAGAATTTTTTTTTTATTATTCATTTGTGGGATGTGTACATCACTGGCAGGCCAACATTAACTGCCTGTCCCTAGTTGCCCTTAAGTAAAACCCTCCAACCCTGGCAATATCCTTGCAAATGTTTTCTGAACCCTTTCAAGTCTCAGTGGGGTGTATTTAATCACACTCCTGACTTGTGCCTTGTAGATGGTGGACAGGCTTTGGGGAGTCAGGAGAGGAGTTATTCACCACAGTATTCCTAGCCTCGGACCTGCTCTTGTTTATGTGGCCACTCCAGTTGAGTTTCTGGTCTATGGTAATCCCCAGGATGTTGATAGTGAGGGATTAGTGAATGTCACAGTGATAGTCTTAGTCAGGCATTTGTATGATGTGAATGTCACATGCCACTTGTCAGCCCAAACTTGGGTAAAGTACAAATCTTCTTGCACTTGAAAATGGATTGCATCAGTATCTGAGGGGTTGTGAATGGTGCTGAACATTGTGCAATTATCAGGGAACATCTTGACTTTTGACCTTGTGATAGAGGGAAGGTCATTGATGAAGCAGCTGAAGATGGTTGGGCCTAGTACACTACCCTAAGAAACTCCTGCAGAGATGTCCTAGAGTTGAGATGCCTGACCTCCAATAACCGCAACCATCTTCCTATGTGCTAGGTATCACTCCAATCGGCAGATAGTTTGGCCCCTGATACCCACTGATTCCAGTTTTGCTAGGGCTCCTTGATGCCACACTTGGTCAAATGCGGCTTTAATGTCAAGGGCAGTCAGTCTCACCTCACCTCTGGAATTCTTTCATTCATGTTTGAATCAAGGCTGTAGTGAGGTCAGGAGCTGAGTGACCCTGGCGGAATGCAAAGTGGGTGTTAGGAAGTAGGTTATTGCTGTGCTTGATAGCACTGTGATGACACCTTCCATCACTTTACTGATGATTGAGGATAGACTGGCGGGGTGGTAAATGGCTGGGTTGGATTGGTCCTGCTTATTATGTACAGGACATAACAGGGCAATTTTCCAATTGTCATGTAGATGACAGTGTTGTAGCTGTACTGGCAGAGCTTGGCTATGGAAGCAACAAGTCTGGAGCGCAAGTCTTCAGTACTACCGCTGGAATGTTGTCAGGGCCCAGTATTCAGTGTCTCTAACCATTTTTTGACATCACATGGAGTGAAACAAATTGGCTTAAGACTGGTACCTGTAATGCTGGGGACCACCGGAAGAGGCCGAGATGAATCATCCACTTCTGGCTGAAGATTGCTGTAAATGCTTCAGCCTTGTCTTTTGCACTGTTGCGTTGGGCTCTTCCAACATTGAAGGATTTTAAGCTTGAGGCCACAACTGTGATAGTGGAATGGAGTGGAGGTAGGGCACAAATGGTGCTAAGACGGGGGCTGAGATGGATATAGCTGTCTGTCAGCAATTGGGATGGAAATATGGTCTGTTCTTCTCAGGTTGAGAATACGGGAGGGGAGGTATTGTGGTGATCTGCAGCAAGTTAGCCTGAAAAAAGGGAGCCCAAGACATTCTTGCCAGGCCCAAACACACAGGCCTCACAAGAAAGGTTGAAAAATAAATTCTAAAAACATATCTGCTGGTCATCCAGTGATTTTGTCTGAAAGAAGAAGCTAACACTGCAAGCAGCAACAACCGTCATAGCCCCCTCTCAATGGGACTGTGCATTGGATCAATCTGTATATTTATGGGGAAGTGGTGGCCTAGTGGTATTATCGCTAGACTGTTAACCCAGAGACCCAGATAATGCTCTGGGGACGAGGGCTCGAATCCTGCCAAAGCAGATGGTGAAGTTTGAATTTAATAAATATCTGGAATTACAGAGTCTAATGATAACCATGAATCCATTGTCGTTTGTAGGAAAAACCCATCTGGTTCATTTAACGTCCTTTAGGGAAGGAAACTGCCATCCTTACCTGGTCTGGGCTACAAGTGACTCCAGACCCACAGTAATGTGGTTAACTCTGAACTGCCCTCTGGGCAATTAGAGATGGGCAATACATTTTGCCTACCCAGCGACTCCCTCATTCCGTGAATGAACAAAGAAAATAAAATTAATCAGGAGACTACTTCCTTCATGCTGATTTACTCCTCACCTGAACAAACTATATATATATGGGGACATATCAAGAAGAAAACTGGACATGACTGATGCCACATTATTTTAACCATATGCTCTCTTTACCTGGTTAGGCAAGGTGGGGGCAGTTAAACGTGGGACCATTAAATCCATAAACCTTTAGAAAAAACCATAGTTCTGGTTGTTTGATCAATGAGTACGATTGAATTACTCTATGACCAGGTACCTGCAGGTTTTTACAGGAAGTCCAGGATAATCACCGATTAACGATGATCACTGTTCCTGTGATGTGTTTGATTTTTCTAATGCTTGAATTCATTATAAAGTGAAATTAGTTTGCAAATTCACATTCTACAATAGGGAAACATAGAAAACTTTCATTGATTCTTTTTAGGATTTGAAGTCAGGATGAATACTTCATGCAAAGAGTCATTAGCGTTCAGAATAAAACCCTCCAAAATCATGTTAAATTGTACAACAGTACACATTAAGGTTTTTCCAAAGCAGGTACGTTAAAATATATTAAATGGCCTCATTCATCTCACTTAGTTTGTAGACACAAAGGAAATCTAAAGTGCAGACTCTACCTCGCCTCTTGTTTCTGCATCTTCAGATTCAGAGGAAGATTCATTGACAATAGAAGATGGCCTGGATCTACCATGACGTGGAGATGGAGATGGAGTCTTTGCTTCCTCATCACTTTCTGCTCCAGGAACACGAAGTGAAGCTAGAATACAATACAGGCATTTCAATTAGCCTCAACCTGAGATGAGGAGTGACCTTAAAGAAGTTTATAACATCACAAGGAGCATGGATAGGGTGAACAGTTAAGGTCTTTTCCCCAGGGTAGAGGAGTCCAAAACCAGAAAGATAGGTTTAAGGTGAGAGGGGAAAGATTTAAAAGTGACCTAAGGGGCAACTTTTTCACGCAGAGGGTGGTGGGTATATAGAATGAGCTACCAGAGGAAGTAGTGGAGGCTGGTACAATTATTACATTTAAAAGGCATCTGGATGGTTATATGAATAGGAAGGGTTTAGAGGGATATCAGCCAAATGCTGGCAAATGGGATTAGATTAACGCAGAAAATCTGGTCGGCATGGATGAGTTGGACTGAAGAGTCTGTTTTTGTGCTGTACAATTCTATGACTCTATAACTTCACCTTAACATTACTTCTCAACTCAGCTGGTCTTTTGCCTCTAATCTTTTTAAGGTTAATGCACGACATGCTGCTATACCTCACTTAGGTTTCTCATGAAATTTTTAAAATCAGCTGCTGCAACTTTGATGGGTATTCTATTGTTACAACAATCTGTATAGCCTCAGAGAACCTCTGAGAAAATTCTGAGAGCTTGTTTTATTTCTAGAAACACCTCTTTTATGCCACATGCCGTTCTCAGCTCTAAAACCACTACAGACTTTAGGGGTTGCTTCAGATGAGATGCTTAGGGAGTTCTGCCCTGATTATATGGTCTCTACAGCAATAATGCACTGTATAAAAAGTCATACTAGACTCTCGACATAGTGAGATTTGACATCATGCTATTTCAGGATATGCTCTTTTTGATGCTGGTAGGAAGTGCTATTTAGGTAGGCAGTCTGGGAGGGGTAAAGGTGAAATCAGAAAAGCAGGGACAGAAAGAATGCCTGGACTCTGATTGGCACACTGGGTACTGACGTCAGGAATAAATGCGGTTTGGATGGGTAGAGGACGATATTGTTAGATGATTTTACCGGCAGCAGGCAATTAAGTGGCTCCCATCAATTCAAGGATGGTGGCCTGCTTCTCTGAGTTGTTGGCTAATCAGATAGCTGGGAGCTCTGTAGCTTTGGCAGCACTATTGGCAGTGGTGCTGCTGGTGAGTCTTCCTGGAAAAAGAGAGCGTGTCTCCATGTTTAAATGCTGTTAAGGGACTGGTGAGTGAATCGTGGGTGTTTCAGCAAATTAGTAGACCTTGGTGATCAGATGGCTGAAGGCTGTACTGGCGGTATCAGAGAAAAGGAAAATAACCACTGCCACCAGATGGACGACACCCCAGAGTTCTGAAGGAGATAGCTGAAGAGAAAGTGGAGGTGTTAGTGGTGATGTTTCAAGAATCGCTGGAGTCAGGTGGGGTCCCAGAGGATAGGAAAATCACTAATGTAAGCCCCTGTTTAAGAAGGGAGTAAAATAAAATATGGGAAATTACAGGCTGAATGGTCTGACCTCGATCACTGGTAAGATTTTGCAGTCCATTGTGAAGGATGAGATTTCTGACTACTTGGAACTGCATGGTAAAATAGGGCAAACTCAGCATGGTTTCATCAAGGGGAGGTCATGCCTGACAAATCTGTTAGAATTCTTTGAGGAGGTAATGAACAGGTTAGACCAAGGAGAGCCAGTGGACGTTGTCTGCCTGACCTTCCAGAAGGCTGCTGAGTAAGATAGAGGCCCTTAGTGTCAGAAGCAAGGTAGTAGCATGGATACACAGTTGGCTGTCTGGTAAAAAGCAGAGAGTGGGGATAAAAGGGTCCTTCTCAGGATGGCAGCCAGTGACTAATGGTGTTTCATGAGGGTCAGTGTTGGGACCACAACTTTTTAATTTATATATTAATGATCTAGATGAAGGAACTGAGGGCAAACTGACTGTTTGCAGATGATACAAAGACAGGTGGACAGTTAGGTAGCATTGAGGAAGCGGGGAGGCTGCAGAAGGATTTGGACAGGTTAGGAGAGTGGGCAAAGAAGTGGCTGATGGAATTCAATGTGGGAAATTGTGAGGTCATGTACTTTGATAGGAAGAATACAGACATAGACTATTCTCTAACTGGGAAGAAAATTCAGATATCTGAAGTGCAAAGGGAGTTGGGAGTCTTAATCCAGGATCCTTTTAAGGTAAATTTGCAGGTTGAGTCGGTAGTTAGGAAGGCAAATACAATGTTGGCATTTATTTTGAGAGGACTAGAATAGAAAAGCAGGGACGTACTCCTGAGGCTTTATAAAGCTCTTTTCAGACCACATTTAGATTATTGTGAGCTTTTTGGGCACCATACCTCAGGAAGGATGTACTGGCCCTGGAGCAGATCCAGAGTGGTTCATGAGAACGATCCCAGGAATGAAAGCTTAACATAACAGGAACGTTTGAGGACTCTAGGTCTATACTCAATGGAGTTTAGAAGCATGAAGGGGGATCTAATTGAAACTTACAGAATACTGAATGGCCTGGACAGACTGGATGTTGGGAAGATCTTCCCATTGGTAGGCGAGACTAGGACCTGAGAGCACAGCCTAAGGGTAAAGGGAAGGCCTTGTCATGAAGTTGTGTAGAATACTCATGAATTGAAAAACAGTGCGTGATCCCTTTAAGAAATTGGTGTTTTGTGCTTGGAAGTTTGCAAGCACTGTACAGAGAGCCCCAAAATTGAAACAAATGTATCAAAAGGCCTTACAGTTGGCAGGCAAAACAGCAGTCTTTTTTTGTTGTTTTGGCACTTAGTTTGAATTTAGCCAATTCAGTTAAACCAGACCCTCAATCCTGAATGCCAATTGAATTTAAATCGGATGGTATTAACAACCTGGGACCAATCCTAGTATAAGAAATGGACAGGTCATCAAGGGTATAAAAAAAAAGGGCATTTACAAAATCGGGGGAGAGCCAACTGCCATCCAAAGTGAAAGCAAATCCACCATCTGAGAAATAAACCTGGCTCTCACAAAAAAAATCATTAAGCTCCCTAAAAAAAGCACCAAAGGCTGCATGGCATTTTTTTTTAGCTCAGAGAAAATATCCATGACAGAAAGATCAGCAGAAGAAAGACATTTGTGACTTGAGATCGATAGAAGAAAGGCCGCAGAAGGCAGAGTGTTCCAGAAGATGCTGAGAACGGCATGTGGCAAAAAAGAGGTGTTTCCAGAAATAATCTCTCCAAATTCGCACAGATTAAGTTTTAATTTATTGGGTTTATATAAGTGGGACATGTGATTATTTGAACAGCATTCCAGTAGAATTTAGTTCAGTTAGGGAATAGTTAGTACTTAGGGGAAATTGTTCAGTTTGTTAGTAAATCTGTTAACTTGTTCATTGTTAGGGTTAAGTAAATAGTTATTTGTTACTTGTAAAATGGAGACGAGGGATTTTCTTTCCTTTAACTAATCTTTTAACAGATTACGAAGGGTGAGGTGAGTTTCTCTGGCTGTTTTGGATTTAATTATTGGAAGGGAATCTCTATTTCTGTCATAAAAGATTGGGGCTTGCGTGTCAATTTAATTATCAGTGCGTTCTGAGGAAGGGTCACCGGACTCGAAATGGTAACTTTTATTTTTTCCTTCACAGATGATGCCATACCTGCTCGGCTTTTCCAGCAACCTGGTTTTTGTTCCTAATTATCAGACGGGTTTGACCTTCCCCACCTTCCTAACACCCTTTAGAATAGAGACAAGCAGAAATTTCTTCAGCCAGAGAGTGGTGAATCTATGGAATTTATTGCCACAGAAGGCTGAGCAGGCCAGGTCATTGAGTATATTTAAGAAGAGATAGACAGGTTCTTGATTGTCAAGGGGATCAAGAGTTATGGGGAGAAAGTGGGAGAATGGGGTTGAAAAACTTATCAGCCATGATTGAATGGCAGACAGACTCGATGAGCTGAATGGCCTAATTTCTGCTCCTATGTCTTATGGTCTTATGGAGCGGTTAGTACCCTGAAATAAGAATGTGATTCTACAAAAGCAAAATCTAAGGATTTTGCAAATCTGAAACGAAAACAGAAGATGTTACAAAGATTCAGCAGGTAGGCAGCATCTGTAGAGAAAGAAAAACTATGTTAATGTTTGAAATTTATTCTGATGAAGGTCAAAAACCTGAAATGTTAAGAATGTTTGAGGATTAGGAGATTTAATTCACCAATTTATAATGATATGGTATTGTCCAAATGTGCATGGGATCACGCAAGTGGAAAGAATTCAGTTTGAAAGCTTTACCTGTTACTTTTAATGAATGTTAACAGAGCTTATGCTAAAAATTAGCTTTCTCAAAATGTCTAGGTTAGGTTAAACTTTAATTCTAATGGCTCACCTTGGGTGATCTTTGCAGAGACCATTTGTGTGATCTGAGATGTTAATTTTTGTAGGAATTCTTCTGTTCCAACATCTGCCAATGAAAAATGTGGTAAAGTTGTGGTTGCAGAAGCTTCTCTGCTGACTTCTGTAAGGACTTCTCTTTCATCTGTAATACAATGAGAGCAAATATTCTGGGAACTAGGCAAGCATTTGAGTTGCAAAATCTAATAAAAATTAGACAAATTTCATTTAGAAAACATGATGAAGTACAAAAATTTTATATTTCATATACAATTTAGTTTTTAGTTATATGTTCACAAAATAAATATCCATGTAAATCAAAAGCTGAGTGGGCACTGAGTGATCAAGAGAATATCCATAGATTTAGCACATCATTTTGCTTGATTGGGTGCACACGTATGTTTAAACTATAAAAGTACTGTAAGAACACATTTCAATGTTTCATTAAGCTTAAATAGTTTCATTAACTTGTGCCAGGTACTCACTTTTCTCTGGTTCTTTATGATCAATTTCTTGTGGTCTGTAACAAAGAGGCACACGAACATTGTCACAGATAAAGAGAAGAAAAGAGAAATCAAATGAAATAAGAATTAAAACTGTATTTTTGAACCTGTCCACAGCCAGGTTCTTCATGGTTTTTAAAAGCAACTTAGCAACTTTTTGATTAACATAATCATTGTTAGTTTTACCTCAGGGCAGGGGCACCACTGGCAAGGCAACTGTTTGCTATCCCACAACCTAGAGAAAAGGTTGGTGGAAGATAGCAAGAACTGCAGATGCTGGAATCAGAATCAATACAGTGTGGGGCTGGAGGAACACAGCAGGTCAGGCAGCATCAGGGAAGCAGGAGAGTTGACGTTTTGAGTCAGGACTCTTCATCAGGACATCAAGAAAGGTTGGTGGGACACTGTTGAAGCTGTTGCAATTCATGTTGTGAAGGTACTGCAACAATTCCCTTTTTGTGGTCTTTTAATGCAATTTAGTGGTTTGCTTGGCCATTTCAGGGAATAATTACGTTGTTGCCAAACTAAAGTTAAATATAACCTCTACCATGTTTAGGTGGCAGGTTTATTTTTCTAAAGGACATTAATGAACTCATGTTTTTAAAATAACAGACTAATGTTATTATAGATAATTTTTGTTTCCTTGTTTTTAAACTGAATTCAAATAATGTTCGCACCACACAAATGTAAGACAATGACCCTCTCCAATAAGAGACAATCTAACCGCTGCCCCTTGATGTTCAATGATGTTACCATTATTGAATCCCCTATTCTCCTGGGGTTACCACTGACCAGAAACTCAACTAGACATGCTGTAAAATTACAGTGGCTACAACAGCAGGTCAGAGCCTAGAAATACTGCAGCGGGTAACTTACCGCCTGACTCTCCAAAGCCTGTCCACCTACAAGGCACAAGTCAGGGTGTGATGGAATACTCCCCAGTTGCCTAGATGGGTGCAGCTCCAACAATACTTAGACGCTTGACGCCATTCAGGGCAAAGCAGCTTACTTGATTGGCACCACATCCACAGACATCCATTCCCTCCACCACTGTCGCTCAGTCGTAGCAAAGTATACAATCTACAAGAACCACTGCAGAATTCACCCAAAATCCTTAGACAGCACCTTCCAAACTCATGACAATTTCTATCTAGAAGGACAAGGGAAGCAGATATGTGGGAACATCATTTCCTGCAACATCACCACCAAGCCATTCACCACCATTATGTCAAAAGAAATTCTGGTTGGAAGAGGAAAAGCAGACATCTATGTCCCTTTTTGTCAATCAGTAAGTACAATTTTTGGGTTGCTTATTCAAATACACAGGTAAAGCCTAGAAGAGGGAGAGACAAATGCAAATGAAAAGATTTAATACATCAGCCTCCATGCACAAGTGGCATTTCTGCTTCTTCCTTTCTCATCTATTCTCACTTATTACTTCTCCTGAAGTCTCACACAAGTTTACTTCTATTGATAATTCACACTTCAAGATCTGGTCCAAACTGCCGTATTTTATGTTCATGACTTCAGCATAAATAGCAATTTCTGTTTAACCATGGAGTTTCAGAGCCTAGCTAGATCTTCATCTTACCATCACTCAAATATGCAGTTTTCAGCAGAGTTTATTTGTAGCAGTGAACAATGAAAACATTCACTGACCTTCTTGGTGTAGTAAGGATGCCAAAATCTACTGTAGCACCTACCCTAATCAAGATCAGTCGGATTTAAGAAAGGGATTGAAGTTAAAATTTACCAGATTTGTATGCTACAATCTACAAATGCAGCAAAACCTGGATAATATCCAGACTTGTGCTGACAAGTGACAAGTCGTGCCACACATGGCTATCTCTAACATGGAGAATTTAACCTTGGTACCTTGACATTCAATAGCATTACTACCACTAAATCCCCTACTGAGTATTACCAATGACCAAAAACTGAACTGGATCAGACAAATAAATACTGAGACTTCAAGAGTAAATCAAAGGCTAGGAATATTGCGGTGAGTAACTCATCTCCTCACTCTCTAAACCTGTCCACTATTCTATAAGGCACAAGTCAGCAGAGTGTTGGAATCCTTTCCACTTGCCTGGATGAATGCAGCTCCAACAACAATCGAAAAATTTGCCTCCATTCAGAACAAAACGGCCTGCTTGACTGGCATCAGATCCACAAACATTTCGGTGGATCAAAATCCTGGAGTTCCCTCGCTAACAGCATTGTAGGTCTACGAACAGCACAGGGACTGCAACACTTCAAGAAGGCAGCTCAACAGCACGTTCTCAAGGGCAGCTAGGGACAGGCAATAAATACTGGTCAGCCAGCAATGCCTATGTCTCATGACAGTATAAAAATAAAATTCACTCCCTCTACCACAGTGGCAGGTGCGTACTATCTACAAGATACATGGCTGAAATTCACTGAAGTTCCTGAGGGAGGACATGGTAACACCATCTTCTGCAAGTTCCCCTCCAAGCCACTCACCATCCTAACTTGGTGTTATATTGACATTCCTTCAGAGTCACTGGATAAAAATCCTGAAATTCCCTAACAGCATTGTTGCTATACCAACACCAAATGGACTGCACCAGTTCAGAAAAACAGCACACCACCGTCTTCACAAAGGCAATTAGGGATGGACAATAAATGATGGCCCAGTGAGTGAAGTCCAAATCCCATGAATTAATAAAAGTACTGTTTAAAATTATCAGGTGAGCTACTATTGGAATTTAAGCAAATAAAGTAGATTCTCCTGTATTTACAGAGAAATATCCGATTAGATGCATTTACCCATGCAAAAATGTTTGCATAATAGCTTCTTTCACAGTTGTGGTTTCTTCAGTTGGAGCTTCAACTTCTTGCAAGAAAACAAAAAGGAACATACATTGTAAATTGGAAATGCATACAGTTCATTGAAGTTTGTTTCTTTAGTTTAAAAATAGATACAGTTAAAAAAAATTGTTTTCACTGTACACAGCATGGCATTTCTATGCTTGTAACAGACCCTTATATACAGTGTCAACATTTTCTTAGCACATATCAACTCGCGTAAATTGCACTGCAGTAAATTGACCAAAAAGCAGTTTGATTCTACAGGTCATATACACTATCAGCACCACACTGCCTAGAATAATCTGAAAGACATGTATAAGTGAAAGGTGTCTGATATATATACAGATATAAATATCATATCTAGACTTTGACTTTTAAAATATTGGCATTTGTGTGTATTGCTTTTCTGAAGGATTTTAAAAAATAAGTAGGTCAAACAAATCTCCTCCAACAGTAAGATAATCCAGAATGTGTCACAGAACTGTAGCCCCCTGGATTGTTAATGGAAAATTGATTTTTACTGTAGTGGTTTATGACTTGTGGGGTAAACATTGAAGATTTTCAGCCAATTTTTGGTTCAGGATAATGAAGGATCAGCTTTAGCTTAGGAAACTCAGAGTCTGAAATTTTTAAGACCTAACTAGAGGCAAATATAGTTTAGAAGTCAGGTCTAAGCTTTCAGATTTATGAGTATTCATGTAAGAAAACTTTACAGTTAACAGGAAAGAACCAGGGAGGAATCACGTAAGTTGAACTTGAATATGATATAAAGTCTCTGTAACAGGTAGTATCAGGAGACAGGATGAGACTTTGTTGTGCAGTGTTTAAGATATTTCAAACAATGTTGCAATAAACGTCTGTTTTGCTGTTAAAAAATCTGCAGCCCTGTGTGACAAAGCTTCACTGAATGAATACCATGTTAACTAAAATTAAGAAAACAATCTACCAGGCCAGATTTCATTCTGAGATCTGACTTGACTAACAGTACCTTAATTTGGGTCGTAACATCTTGCCAGAATTTGAATTCATTTTATTCAATAGGGATCAGAGTCTTTTAAATAAATGGATATGTTGAGGTTCTGAACACAAGACAGGAATATTCTGGTGAAGTTTATTGTATGAATTTGCAACATTCAAATCCATTTTGAAAATCTGTAAGAATTTTTCTGGAAGTAGAAGATACAGCTGTGCATTATTTGAAATTTTTTGTGAAGTCTAATTTGAAAGAGATAGCAGATAAATTGAAGGGAGAAATGAAAGCAGGATCTTGTAGGAACGAGATGCTGAAAATTAATATCCAACATTAAGAATTAGAAGAAGCGAAACCTTAAATTGAGATGTCACAGTTAGAATTACCTGAGGAGTGAATGAAGGAGAAATCAGTCCAATCATACAAAATTGAAACTAAAAGAGAATGGAGATTAAATGCATATGTTATAGTTTGAGTAGTGTAACAAATCCCTAAGGAAGAAATTAGTTCTTTCTTGGGAAATGACCTGGCTAGTTGAAAAATACTGGCTTCACTGAAGATGGTGGAATAATTGGTAAAGGCAAAAGAAACTAAGAAGATATAGATGGAACATCCTGGATTGTTTCTTGACTGCCTTGTGACTAGATCTCAGGCTCATAAAACCAGACGGGAAGAACAGAATCTATGAAATGATTTGGGAATTCAGTTAATGGATGCAATTTTCAGAAGTTTAAAAAAAACATAGAAACGTAGGAAATATGTGCACGAGTAGGCAACTCAGCCCTTCGAGCCTGCACCACCATTCAATATGATCATGGTTGATCATGCAATCTCAGTATCCCATTTCTCCCTCTCCCCATACCCTTGGCCCCCTTAGCCACAGAGGCCGCGTCTTGAATATATCTAATGAACTGGCCCCAACAGCTTCCTGTGGGACAGAATTCCACAGGTTCACAACTCTGAGTGAAGAAGTTCTTCCTCATCTTAATCCTGAATGGCTTTCCCCTTCTTCTGAGACTGTGACCCCTTGTTCTAGACTCCCCAACATTATGAACCTTGTTCCCGCATCTAACCTGGCCAGTCCCATCAGGATTTTATGTGTTTCTATGAGATGCCCTCTCATTCTTTTAAATTCCAGTGAATAGAAGTCCAGTTGATCCAGCCTTTCCTCATATGTCAGTTCTACTGTCCCAGGAATCAGTCTGTGAACCTTCATTGGGCCTCCTCAATAGCAAGAATCTTCCTCAGACAGGAGACCAAAACACAATACGTAAGGTGTGGCCTCGCCAAGGCCCTGTATAACTGCAGTAAAACATCCTTACTCCAATACTCAAATCCTCTTGCTATGAAGGGCAGCATGCCACTAACCTTCCTCTTGCCTGCTGCACCTGCATGCCAACCTTCAGCGACTGTTCCACCATGACACCTAGGTCTCATTGCATCTTACATTTTCCTAAACTGCCACCATTCAGATAATAATCTGCCTTCCTGTTATTGTGACCAAGGTGGATAACCTCACATTTATCCACATTATATTGCATTTTCCAAGTATTTGCCCACTTAGCCAGTCTGTCCAAGTCACCCTGGAGCCTCTTAGCATCCTATTCAGAGCACATACTGTCACCCAGATTAGCGTCACCTGCCAATTTGGAGACATGACATTCAATACCTTCGTCCAAATCGTTAAGGCATACTGTGAACAGTTGAGGTCCCAGCACTGAACTCTGCTGTACCCCACTTTTCACTGCCTGTCACTCTGAAAAGGAGCTATTTATTCCAACTCTTTGCTTCCTGTCTGACAACCAGTTCTCAATCCATGTCAATACATTATACCCAATACCATGAGCTTTAATTTTCCTAACTAATCTCTTGTGTGGAACCTTATCTTTGAAAGCCTTTGAAGCCTTTGAAAGTCCACATACACAACATCTCCTGATTCACCACTGTCTACTCTACTGGTCACATCCTCAAAAAATTCCATAAGATTTGTCAAGCATGATTTTCCTTTAGTGAATCCATGCTGACTAGGACCGATTCTGTCACCGCTTTCCAAATGCTCAGTTATTACATCTTTGATGATTGACGCCAGCACTTTTCCCACTACTGATGTCAGGCTGACTGGCCTATAATTCCCCATTTTCTCTTTCCTTGCTTTTTTAAAAAATGGAGTTACATTAGCTACCCTCCAGTAAAATGGAACTCCTCCAGAGTCTGCAGAATGCTGGAAAATGATCACCAATGCACCTGCTATTTCTAGGGCCACTTCCTGAAATGCAGAGAATCAGACCCTGGGGACTTATTGGGTTTTAATCCCATCAATTTCCCAATATCATTTCCTGACTAATAAGGATTTCCTTCATTTCCTCTTTTGTGCTTGACCCTCTGTCCCCTAGCATTTCCTGAAGATTATCTGTATCCTCCTTAGTGAAGACAGATCTAAAGAATTTGTTCAACTTGTCTGCCATCTCTTTGTTATCTATTACAAATTCACCTGATTCTAACTGCAAGGGACCTATATTTATCTTCACCAGTCTTTTTCTCTTCACATATCTATAGAAGCTTTTGCAGTCGATTTTTATGCTTTCTGCAAATTAACTTCCATATTCTATTTACCCTTTCTGAATTAAACCCTTTGTCCTCCTCTTCTGAATTTTAAATTTCTCCCAGTTCTTGGATTTGCTGCTTTTTCTGGACAATTTATATGCCTTCTCTTTGGCTTTAATACTGTTCCTGACTTCCCTTGTTAGCCATGGTTGAGTCACAATCCCTGTTTTACTCTTATGCCAGACAGGGATGTACAATTGTTGAAGCTCATCTATGTGTTTTTTAAATGTCTACCATTGCCTATCCACTGTCAACCCCTTAAGTATCCTTGGCCAGTTTATCCTAGGGAATGCATATCTTGTACCATCAAAGTTAGCTTTCTTTAAGTTCAGGATTCAGATTTAATTGTGTCACTCTCCATCTTAATGAAGAATTCTACCATATTAAGAGAATGAGGCTAACATGCTTAATCTATCTTCTTGAGCAGAGCTGCAACAAATACTAAATTCTACTGCAAGTTTGTTCTGATTTTATTTAGCTCCTTTGACAAATTTGTTAAAGGAAAGGACGCAGTTAGGATTGAAACAAGAATGTAATTGAAACTTTGATAACTTGAAAACTGTTCTGACAACCACATACAATTCAGCATTGTAAAATTATGACAGGCCATTGAAACTGGCTGCCTGCAACCACTGGTGTCAGTGCCATTTTACTATTAGGATACAAAGTGGGGACTGAATGGCCTGTCAATTATTTTTCAAAGAATTTGAATGTATGTCAACAGAAACATTCAATGGCATAGAAATAAGCATCAAGTCTTGTGTTGTCTGTACATCAGTTTGAAATCTACATTACTATAAAATGTTGAAGAAACTATTATTTGTCCAGAAGACAATCCTTTGATTTTTTTTGATGAGCTTTCTGGACAAGAACATATGGTTCAAAACATACAGACCATCAGGCCAGACTTCTTTTTGGGATCTGACTTATCCACTAGTAGCATTAGCTATGATCATAATGCGAGCACGTTATCCATTTTGAACCAATAAAAGATAGATCAGGGTATTTTCTAGATGGTACGAAGTTAAATACACTGGATGTCCAAAGAGACTTAGGAATTCAGGTGAATAGATTATTAAAATGCCATGAACAGCAGCAGAAAATAATTAAGAAGGCTAATGGAATGCGGACCTTTATATCTAGAAGACTGGAGTACAAGGATGCAGAAGTTATGCTGCAGTTATACAAAACTCTGAATAAACCCCACTTGAAGAACTATTAGTAGATCTGGCCCCAGATCTTAGGAAGGAAGTATTGGCTTTAGAGAGAATACGACATAGATTTACAAGAATGATACCTGAACTTCAGGGGTTAAGTTGAGGTGAGATAATACAAACTAGGCCTGTTTTCCCTAGCATTTAGAAGGTTAAGGGATGATCTATCGAAATCTTGAAGATATTAACAGGAAAAGACAAGTTGGTAAAGATAAACTTTGCACTGGTTGAGGCTTCTAGATTGAGGGGCCTTAGTCTGAGAATTAGATAGAGAGATGTTAGGAAGCACCTGTACACGTGAGGAGTGATAGATGCTTGGAACACTCTTCCACAAATGGCAGTGGATGCAGGATCAGTTGTTAATTTTAAATCTGAGGGAGATAAATTGCTGTTAAACAAACAATTTAAGAGATATGGGCTAAAGACAAGTACATGGAGTTAAGCCACAGACCAGCCATGATCTCACTGAATAACGGAACAGGCTCGAGGAGCTGAATGGCCTACTCTTGTTCCTATAATACTTGCACTTATAAAATATATTATCACATCTCTGAGGCAAATTGGAATTACAATGCAATAAAAATGAATTTGAAAAATATACTATAAACTTCCAACTGAGTTAAACATTCCAATGAAAAATCTATCATTGCACTGCCTATGACAAAGCTATCAGTAAATTTTGCTCACCATCGACAACATCCAAGTGGGCAGAGCAGATGGACTGGCCAGCCTTGTTTGTAGCAATACAGGTATAGACTCCAGTGTATTCCTTCCCAACATCCAACAGAATCAAACTATGTTGCATATTTGAGCTGGCCAATTTATAACCCGGTGTATCTTTTTTAATCCAGATAACATCTTCCACTGACTCCTCTTTAAGCCATGTTATATCAGGCATTGGAGATCCTGTTAAAAAATTATTTTTGGTAACTTGAACATTCAATTACTTTTGAAGTTTTTCAATATATTCTGTGCCAGAGCAAAGCCTTGCAAAATTGCTCTCGTGCTGCCAAGGCATTAGGAGGTGGATGAGAAAGATCTTCAGTGATTGGAGAACCTCCTTCTCTTTTGTAAGCTTAAGCAACTTTCTATAGCAAAATGTGAGGATGCAGGTTTCTAGGTGTAAATCATTGACAACATACATTATAGAGACATTCTTGCCATTTTGTTGTTTTCAAAACCTTCAAGCTGGGGAAGAGATTTTACAGTTGGAGTTGAGACATTCATCTTACCTTGAACCCTGACAGTTAAGGTAATGCTGGCTCCTTTCTTTACATTCTTACTTGTGAACTTTTCCAGAAATCTTGGTGGAACCAACTTCTCTGGCGTTTCTGCAAGTAAAGAACAGCAATCAGCAAAGCAAATAGAGTAGTAGCTTCTAAGTGCCAAATGCTATCATTGCCATTTCCTGTGGAATGTTAAAGTAAAATTCATAGTCTACTAGGCCATTTATTTTGCAGATTACACTTATTATCTCTTTTACCATAAATTCTACACATCCTACTTAATCTCTGGAGAGAAGATTCTCCTTACCCTTCAAAAATAAATCAAAATAAACTCTGAAACATCCTTCTAACCTTAGAGCCTAATCATGGGCTAATATGGAAGTTACTGGAGTGTGTACTTCCTCCACTTCTATTCTTGACTGGCACTCTTATCTTAAGTAGTTTCCAGTTAGAGGGAATTAACTTTTCATTTACCTTTATCTTACTTCTCTTTTATTTCCTTAGCCCTGCTTCAAATTAGCTATTTATAAAGTTTTCTTTAGAAGTACCCCCTGACCTGCCCCAACACCAGGATCATATCTCGATGGTTTCAGTTGTAGGGCCTCTGTGGCTCCATCTTAGTAGCACACAAAGGTATGAGCGGACAACACTTTAGAGGAAATCCCTTGACCTCTAGAATCCATCCACATTGTTTAGAAGGTAGCATGAAAAGCAGCAAGCACTTGGGTTGCCAGAGAATGACGGCATTATGATAGCTGCCTGGAAAACAAGTGCATAAATGCACAAAGCCTGTGTTGTTGTTTTCAGCCAGCTACACTTGGAAGGATTGGAAACCCTTACTTTGCTGAATCTCATTGGCTGCTCACTCAGAGCTTTGAGATAGCAAGAACTACAGATGCTGGAGTTAGAGACAACACAGTGAGGAGCTGGAGGAACAAAGCAGTCCAGGCAGCATAAGAGAAGCAGGAAAGTTGACGTCTCGAGTGTTAGCCATGTGGGTGAAGTTAATTGTCAGTTCAACAGTGGAAGAAAATCCCTTTGCCTGACATATGTAAGATCCCATCTGCATGTAATCTCTCTGAAATAGTGCACCTAATGACCTGTCAGATGCAATGGAATTCTGTTTTGTTACAGACATTACCGAAGTCTACTGCTAGTCTTTGCAGGGAGCAAGACATGAAATAATTCAAGGCCACGATGACTTAGGAAAGGTTTAGAGAGATATGGGCTAAATGCAGGCAAATGGGAATAGTTCAGATTAGGAAATCTGGTCAGCATGGACACATTGGGCCATGTTGTATGACTCTATAACTTTGACGGCTAATGTTTCAGCAAAATGAGAGGTCTTCCGGTACAAGTGCACAAATCTGAGTATCTATCTGTCAAGGCAGGCGCAGTCTCCTGTGGGCTAGTACTCCAATGTGTCTAGGTAGTTTTTCCTTTGCCAAACACATTGCTGTGGATTGGTCTTGACTGCATTTCTTTATGCCTGAGGACGGTGATCCTAACCTATACGAGACCCAATCACTGAAAACTTTAATCCTTTGTCCAGCTATAACATGTATAGTATTTAGCTTCACTCAGAATGATTTCCAGGCTGCCTTCTCAACTCATATGGCCCCATGATTTGATTTTGATTTGATTTATTATTGTCACATGTACTGAGACACAGTGAAAATTATTGTATTGCACGCTAACGAGACAAATCATATATATCAAGGTAACAGAACAGAATGCAGAATAGTGCTGCAGCTACAGAGAAGGTGCGGAAATCCCTGGACTGTCATCACTTCTTCCAATGCAAAGTTCATAAAACCACTCACTTCACTACCTTGCTTATGTGATAAGACCTGTATGCCAATAGCCAAGTGCCGTGCTCCGTTTTATCGATCAATCTGATTTCCTGATGTGCCCAAGACTGGATCCTTGCTGTGTTGCTTCCTCTGCCACCTGATCTTGAATCATTGTGAAACCTTTGTGCTCCAACCAAAATTAAAAACTGCCCATTGATGAACTGAAAGTAAGCTTTTAAAAGGAGATTGATTTGCCACTCATTAAAACTGGGTGGGTTGCTGACTCTTGCTTCATATCCCCCACTCTAAGCAGATCACCGACAGTAGGAATGTCAATGGTGAACTGGCACAGTGGCCAGTGACACTAATCTTTGCACCTGACCCCTGTTCAATGATCCAAGGAAAGTTTTATATTGTAAAGGTACTTTAAAAATGTAGGTTGTTATTACTGTTGTAGTGTTTTGTGTGTTAGTTTGGCTTTACCTGATTTTTCTTCAGGCATATGCTTCTCAATTTCTTCTCCAGGGCCTGAAATATAATTCAAGTTGCACAGTTAAAAGATTTTCTTATGGTTAACAGTGCTCAGTGATCCAAGTAACTAGTCTTTTATTGTTACTAAGCAGGTTCATGGCATTTCAACATCGAGGGCCCAATATTAACACAACCTGCTCAGTCAGAATGGAATGTGTAGGTATGGCATCAAAATGACAGTCAAGCATTTCCTCCAATTAAAGCTGACATGAAATTTAAATCAAAGAAGTGTGAAGTGATGTATTTATGTGGGAAGAAAGACAGAATGCAATGCAAAATAATGGATTCAATTCTTAAAGGAACAGAGGCATCTTTGTAGGAGGGAGGGAATAAGTGATCCAATTGTTGAAGGTGTTTTGCAGGTTGAGTAAGCGGTTAGTTAATATGGTACATGGGATCCTGGGCTTTAAAAATAGTAGCACACATTGAAATAACAAGGAAATTATGGCGTTTGAGACATTCAAGATAGCATTCGATGATTATTTAAATAGAAACAATATGCAAGGATATGGAATAGACAGGACAATGGCACTGAGGCAAAATGCTCTTTAGACAGTCATGCAGATACAATGGGCTGAATGACTTCCTTCTGCACAGTAACACTTCTGTGTGATTCTGTGAAACTTATAAATGCTGTCTCGGCCTCAACTGGAGAATAGCAGTTTTACATAAAGGCTGTGCCTCTGACTGGGTTTAGAGTTGAAGATAAGCCTGCCTCCATTTGCCAGGGAGTCCTGAGCTGCTTTTACAGCTGTTGTGATGAGAATTAGCTCAAGGTTAGATTTACATCAAGTAATCGAATACGGCAGTTCTCGAGTCAATTTCAGTGGCACAATGATTCAGGACCAGATAGGTAGGCTCCAGCAAGAGAAGGGTTTGGGATAGAGATGATGAGAGTGGAATCGGGAGAGCACAGAATTTCTGAAGATGATGGCTCCCCTCTCAGCCCCCAACAAGGCTTCCCTTGCCATGTGCTGTGAGCACCTTCTGTCACAGGTAAAATACCAGCTATAAGAGGAAGCACTTAAGCAGAAGAAGGCCACCCAATGTTACCCCTACTGCTAGTAAAATCTCAGCAGATGCATGTAGGTGACAGGCATTGCATCTCTGCTACACTGGCTGATTTTATGCCCCTTAAGCTTTGGTTGGTGAATATATGAACAAGGGAAGACAGTAGGCCACTTGGCCCTTTGGGCCTGCTTATTGCCTTTCAATAAGATGATGGTTGATCTGATTTTAAATTCAACTCTACATTTCTGTATACTCCTCGTGGTCGTCACATTCATGATGGGACATTGGTGTAACACTGTAGACAATAGTGCACATAATTTCACCCATTATGGCACAGAAGCATAGAATCCATAGTGTGGAAGCAAGCCAATCAGCCCATCAAGTCCACACCGATCCTCCGAAGAGCATCTCAGCCTGTAACCTGCATATCCCATTGGCTAACCCACCTAGCCTGCACATCCCCACACTATGGGCAATTTAGCATGGCCATTTGACTTAACTTACACATCCTTGGATTGTTGGAGGAAATCGGTGCACCTGGAGGAAACCCACGTAGACACGGGGAGAACATGCAAATTCCGCAAAGACAGCTACTTAAGGGTGGAATCGAACCTGGCGCTGTGTGCAGCAGTGTTAACCACTGTGCCACCCTGCTACTTATGTCAGTATTGGACATCAGACTTTAGGAAGGACGTGAAGCATTAGAAAGGATACTAAAAGACTTTCGAAAATAGCTGCAGGGATAAGGACTTCAGGTAGATTTGGAGATCTAGGGCTTTTGCCCTTTAAGGAAAGAACATTGACAAGACATTTGACAAAAGTATTCAAAATCATGATAAATTTGGACAGAGTAGATAGGGCGTAACAGAAGGATTGAGAACCAGAGGGCATAAATTTAAGATGATACGCAAAAGAACCAAAGGCGATAAGGAAGAAAATCTTTTTAAACAGAGTGGTTGGGATGTGTAATGTATTGACTGTCAGTGTGGTGGAGGCAGGTTCAATCAGGACTTTCAAAAAGGAATTGAACAATTTTCTGAAGACAAAATATTTCCGGACTTTGGGTAAAGGACGAGTAGGACTAGCTGATTTGCAGTTGCAGAGAACTCGTATGGACACAGAGCCAAATGATCTCCCTCTGTGACTTAACTATTTTATATCTCCGTATCTGTAACTTTTTAGGCTACTGGGGTTTTTAGCAGCTTTGGAATTGCCTGCTGTAGCAGGCAGGCCACTCGATTATTTAAAAATTGGGATCCAATTATGTCATTCCAATTCTAGCACATTTTTATTCGATAATTAGGGCAGTGCTAGAGTTGATCGAAGCATGTGGGAACACCTGCAAAATTGTACTCCTGCAATTTTTCAGTGAAGAAAAACTGGAATCAAGAAAGTTCCGCTTACTTTGAATGTGTACAACAGCAGATGTATAGGCAGAGCCTGATGAATTGCTGATATAAGCTGCATATTCACCACCAGCTTCTTTGGAAACATTGAGAATTTCTAGAGAATGATCTCCTTTATTGTCCGTCATCAGAATTTCATCAGTGGCACGCAAAGGTTTACCATTTTTAAACCAATAAACACGAGGGTATGGGTAACCTACAGAATAAAGAGGTATAAAACAATTTATCGAAAATGATTAACAATAAAAAAGAATGCCAATGATCTAATTACATCATTGAATTAGACTGGTTTTTTTGGTCTAATTGCATGTTGCAATCAAATAAGATCCCTCGAGTAAGCAAATTAAGCCTCACAACTCAATTTAGCTATTAATTGATTAACGGTGGAATTTAATTACAATTCCGACCAACAGTGTCTATCTCATGATATGTCCAGGGTTCGATCCTTGTGCAATGTTTTCTTTGAAGTTCTGCTGCTGCAGAATCGTGGAGTTGAATTCTCACACAATTTTCTGTCTTTTAAGTTTGTGATGTGACATTCTTGATAATCCTTCAGATTTTTTCATTGCCAATACTGATTACACTTTTGCAGTCCTCAAGCCTGTAGCTTGCCTTCTTATCAGAAGTAACTCCCCTATTCCTTGTTACATTTAGTGTCAGCTGTCTATTTGAAAACACAACCTTACCTGCACTTAACCCTTTACCTCAGGACATTTCTTGTGTGCAGTCTTAACTGCCCATTTATCACGGGGCAGCAGGTTACCAAGCAGTGTTACCTCCTATCTCCCAGGAAACAACTTGTTTATGTTCCTTTGACACCTTCTTCCCAGGGATAGCTAATTAGCATTTTCCTTTAATTCCTCTATAACAGTTTTTCCTTGGCCCCTTCTTCTCAGGAAAAAGTTTATTCCAGAAAGAATCCTTAAACAGTTATTAATGTTCTGAAGTTTACATTGTCACACTACTTTATCTCATCCCTTCTATAAATCTACATAGGCATGCACCACAGAACTTCCTGTACAGGAACCCGTCTATCTACCTTAATGAATGGAAAGCGTCAGCTTGGGTCAAATGGTAGACTATTGCTGCTGGGATGCAAGGTGTTGTTGATTTGTGCCTTAATCCAGCATGAAATTCAGGCTGTGACTCCAGTATTTTTTTTGGGAGGGGGGTGCGGAATAAAGACATTAACGTGAGATCAATATCACAACATTCCACTGGTTCAGGTGGATATGATTCCAATGCAGTCTTGGAAAGCAGAACTTTCTCCCTATGTCCTGGCCAATATTCTCTCAATCAGAGATAGCCAAAACAGACTAAAAATCAAACGGTCTTCACAAACTTAGTAGTAGGACCAACACACACAGACTAGACACTGTCCCTGACTTACTGACCTCTGCAAAGGAGGAAGTAATTCATCTGGCCAGGGAGGAGGGATGCTCTTGGAAGACAGCAAGGTCAAGGCAACAGAATGAGGAGGCCTCCACCCTGGTGAAATGAACTGGGCACACAGGGGATATATGTGACACTGTACTGAGAAAAGGTATTGTACAAACTCGCAAGCTAATTCAGTGTGTTATCCACTACAGTCAGGAGACATGTGCCTGCAGAAAGCTAAAACTCCATCTCTGAGGATGATGGCACATAACACATCTGGAGGTGGTGGTAATGTAGTGGTAACTAGACTAGCAATCTAGAACCACAGGCTAATATTCTGGGGATAGTAGGAACTGCAGATGCTGGAGAATCCGAGACAACAAGGTGCAGGGCTGGATGAACACAGCAGGCCAAGCAGCA